GAAGATACAGTGAGAAATGTTACAAAATTTGGGAAAATTATTCATCAATATGGGTTTCCGAAGCGTACACTGCGAGAACCGTTTAAGATACCCAAAAAATATGTATAAAAGAATGATTCCTCTTTAAATGATCTAAAGAAAAATCTCCCATGCTATATGTCTATCTTTCAAGATTTACTTGCAAGAACGACGGGAAGGAACGCAACCGATGTCGCTGTCATAGCTAGTTATTATATAAAAAGAGAGACGAGAAGCGTGGTGCACGGAGCGATTACATTTCTCAGTCTGTTTCAGATCGGTTCTTTTACAAGCAGGTAGTTGATCAGACTACTGTACCTTACCTGACCGAAACAGTCTATTGATTCCCAGGATTCAAACCCACGACATCTCGCGCTTAACGCAATGAATGGAAACACGTTTAAACATATGTCTACATAGGCGGTCTTAATTACTATGATAACACAAATTAGTTTCAACATAATATATATAGGAGTACGTATGTTATATATTTAATTATGTTTATAGCACAATGGATCTTGCACGTACTGTTAAAAGTATTTTACAAGCAAAGAAATTTTATATACAACCTAACTACAAAACGATACTCTCTTTTAACGGTTTAATTTTGTACATAGTCTCACAGTCCTGACATTGGTGGTGTTAAAAAATATTAATTTACATAATTACGTATCTACCGTCAAGAAATCTTCTGTGCTAACAATCAAGTTAAGCTGTAAGTTTAATTTCAAGTACATTAAGTTTATTTGAAATTAAATAATATTGTACATAATATAATTTGTATTAACCTCGAAGAGTAATTATATACGAGAGCGGAGTCAAAAGGAAATATTGTCGTTATTGCGAATTATTCAGGTTTCCTATTGATATAACTAGTATCGACGTAACATTGAAGACGTACAAAGCTTTTGACTTTAGCATTCAAGGTCTACAGCCTTTGTGAGTTTGCCATACTTTACAGTATCACAGTAACCTATTTTGCTCAGTTCTGATCAGAAATTCTTTTACAAGGTACTAGTTTTAACTAATACAACATTATTAAAATCACATCTAGTGCAAAGCTGTTCCTCATATACATGGCACAAGAAATTATGACACAGCTGCTTCAGCTCTACTTTATAATTAGATTTAAATAAACACTAACGGTTTAAAACGCGATATATATTAGTTAAACTTCAAAGTATAAGTAATATATATCTCGTTTTATACTGTCCGTGTTTTATTTAAAAGTATACTACTCGCATAGACGACAGACAATATTTGATTAGAATTACAAACTTCTGAACCTTTAGTAACTAAAAAAACTCAACAGAAAAAGCTTTCTAGGGCCTCGAACCTAGAATGCTAGGCAACGCGTTTAACCACTGGGCTGCAGGCTACCGTATTACCGCATATAATACACGGCAGTGTATATTTTTATGAGACTTATAAAGTTAAAAATAAAAGCAGTATTTACCTATAACTTTCAATTCCGTATGTAGTAGTGTTTATAAATTCTTTAATAATATTATTTTATGTTACCAGCCTTTTGACTTCGCTTTTATACGGAACTAAAACAATCACTTCGAACATTTAATTTGCCTTTTGCCAATGAACAAAAAATCTGAACTCGAGTTCAAAACTGCGCAATCCGCATTCTGTTATCGGTTATTGAATTTCCCTTTGAAGATAATGAAAAGCCGCGTCAGCCACTTTGTCAAATAGGTTCTTTTAAGTATTTTTTTACTTACACGATAGTCTCGTAAGAATCATTACAACCGTTACATAATCCCATTGTAAAAATCATCCGAACAACATTGTATGAAATTTATTATACCCGGGATACGATATAAGTTGTAATACTACCTGTATTTCTTTGTAATGTCTTTACCCACTTAATAAATAGATTTAATTTAAAATACATTTCATGTCTACATATCCATATTATTTAAATAAAACACTAACGGTTTCATACTAAACATTTGGCCGTAGTTAAAATAATTTTCAAATAAGTGTAACTAATATATTTCGTGTTTTAAACCGTTAAAGCATTTTATTTAAATGAGTACTAATCGCGTTCAATACATACAGTAGTTATTTTATCCACATCACATTTACATGTAAAAATTAAAACTGAATTTCATTGAAATAATTATTATAATTTTTACACTTGTACAATACATACATACAGGTAATAACTTGTAAAAATGATAATGATGATAATAATGTTAAATTATAAAAAGGTATTTCTCATATTAAAACGCCGAAGTTAAATCTATTTCCAGGCCGGATTGTTCATTTAAGTACGGTTCGTATTTAATACCCTGAGCGGGTCGAGATTGCCTTTTGAAATCCAACTTTAAAATTATCATCTCACGCCATGCCGAGTGTGCTATTGCTATGATAGCAGCACTTTAGATACGTAACTGAGGTTTTAATAGTAAGTGGAGGAAGATATGTAACCTGTACTTTGTCTAATATAGGCTGGATATTGAAATAAAACAAGTTTTCGTATTGCACACAAAAGGTGTTATCTAATTTATAAAATTCTCCTGTCACATTTTTAGCTACCATTCTCCTCGGAAACGGCTTGACCGATTTGGAATGACATGAGAATCGGCTACTTTCCATTTTTACCCTACCCCTAACCCTATTTTTTATTGTTTGGCCAGATATTATGTTACTTTTTTAATGTGGCATTAAAAATACTCCCAAAGTTTCACCTTTCTTCCTCCAACCTATATTATTTAATACTTGTTTTAGTAATTTTGTTCTTTTTGACCTCATCGTTTATAGTCTCTTTCACTCATATATCTGATCCTTTCACATTAAAAACTATTTATATGACAAAACAATGTTTACCGGGTTAGCTAGTTATCCATAAAAATCCGCCAAAATTATGTCTTTGCCTTTTACTATCGCTAGATAAAACCTGATGACAAACAGCTAGTTAGTAGGTCCATAGTAGATCACGTTCTACCATTTCAGTAGATAACCATAAGAAAATTAAATAATAATAATAACATACTTACAAGACTAAGTATGTTATTATTACTTTTTTATATTATTTTCTGGTATTTTTATACCCTAAACAAACATTGAATCCCAAATAGTAGCAACTGCAGGCTTACATTATCGGCACCCACCATCCTTTTAGATCGACTTTTGTAAATATTGTCGTTATTCATGAATCAAGACTTTATCCTAACGTAATATTTTTATCCTGTCACCAGCAGACCTCCGCGCTTCAGTACACAGCTGTTATAATGTGAATATCACCGGAATTGAATCAACCAATTCGTGAACTACGGGGAAATAACGAAGCCAAATAAAATATTAAAAACATACAAAGGAAATATGACAAAGACAAACGTTTTGTGTTGCACGTGATATAATGAGGTTGTGATGACAAAAATGATAGTAAAAACATGGATATTACCTGACTTTGGGTTGGCTAGGGATTCGATCCCAGGTTTAGCTTAACGCGTTGTTAAAAAGAAGTTTAACTTAACAAAACTTAAAAGATTTTTTTTTGTTTCACAAAGACTATTTAATGAAAAATAAATGCTGATTCTTAAGGGGCATAGTGCACATAATCCATTTATATGATGGATTTTTGTTCCTCCGGGAGAGTATTCTAGGACGTCTTTTTATGCTAAGCAAGCAAATGAGCATTATTTATTACGTGCGCTTTATTTATAGATTTAAAATAAAATACACGTTAAGAGTAGATATATGCATTGAAAGATCTTAATACACTTATAACGTCTTAATACTGTCCATATAATTTTAATCTTTTCATTAAATCGCTCATACTGGTAATATTTTTGTAAATACATCGATATCTCCCCGTGACCACGGCTGCTGCAAAGCATCCGAAACGTCGGGCGGTAGTTAAAAATAACTTTCACACAAACTAAATTATATCGTGTTTTAAGCCGTTACTGTTTTATTTAAATGTGTTCCATTCGCCTTAAACTACAGACAGATTTTATAGATCGATAATTTAATTGACAATCTAAGTAATATACTTATTACACAAATACATAATGTCAAGTTGTTTAAGCATTTTTAAAAACAATCGTTAATATCTTAGATCTAAGGATATCCTTTGTTTATTATTGAGGTCATCATCGTACTCTAATTATGGTACTACGCTGGGATTCGAGTCCCGCGCATATCGTTTATTTTTTTTATACCTATGCTTTTTTTTCTTTAATATATGTATGTATATTATGTATATACATATATAGTAAAAGTATGAAGACAAGGTTTACTATAGGTTTAAGAAGTCGGCTTCCGTAGGACAAAACTACCGCATAGAAGCAACGTCGCTATGTATAGTTCCCAGTTGACAATTGCATAACATAGGCCTTGATAACGACACGGGCCACAAGGTCAATATCATACCTTTTGTTCGAGTCGTATTACGCTGTACAATATACATTACACGATTCTCTTTTCCCATCCGATGGAAAAAAAAAGTAGCGATTTTAAATGAAAATTTACGTTTTTATGATAGAGAAGGACAGAATAACACAAGGTTCACTTAGGTAAGTGAAGTTGTTACTTCATCCACATATCATCTAGACGAGATGTGCTTACAGTGTACCTTTCGATATCTTAGTAGAGTCGTCGATATCTTAGTAGTTCTGGAAACCATTATTACAACTTACAAATCATTACAATATTGATATAAATATCAATACAAATTCGTAAATGTACAGTCTTATCTAATAAATAACTTTATCTTTTAATAACGTAACTTATATTACGTATTCTTCTAACAAATGTTTCGTAATTGTAATTGGCAATATAACATTTGATCCATAATACTTTCCTTTATTCAAGACTTGCCCAATTATAAGTTTTAGGCTGAAGAATCGCTAATCTTCGACAATGGTCCATTATTGTACGTATTGGAAAATGGCAATCCGCAAATATAATTAGCGTCGACAAGGTGCCACTATGAATATTCATATTCGCCGAAACTATCGTAAACCATGCTGTCCAATTCGCGTCGTGTGTGCGTGTGTTGGGAATTAATTAATTGGCAACGAGCGTTGTACCCAGATGGGGCAGAAACATGCGGTCATTACATTTTATGGTCGCAACAGCAGATGGCAACGTCGTTAATAGCTTGCAGCATTTCGCGCGCACTACAGCGCGAATTTGAAATTCAGATGAATTTGATTATTCCGGCGTGATTGGATTTATGTTTGGTGCTTTTATTGATTCTAAGATCGTGGTCTCACTGTTCATCTGACAGGCTCGTTGGTAGGTATGGCTATTGATCCCCATCAGGTCCAGCATGTTTCTTTTTTTTTCTCTTCTGTAACATGCTGGACTTCGTCTGGAAATCTGGATATTAAACGAGTAGTAGGAATATAGAAATTCCGTCCGGGTCACGAACCACCGTAGCAGATGGAAAAGCCGTGAGGCTTAATCGCATTTCGGTTTTAGTCTGTGGATTTCCGAATATCCAATGCCAAAATAGTTCGACAGCGCATCTTGTTTAGATGCTATAGGCTGGGGTATATCACCACCATCAAGTTACCCCATGCTATGTCTGTCCTAATCTATCGTTAAAAAAAACTGTATACACGGTCACAGTGTGAAACCCCGATTCTAGTACATGGGAAATTTCTGTGCTCCTTCATTACTGCTTCCTTTTCAGAGGTGACAATTGCTTATTTATTATGTTCCCCGGGGACCTACGAAACATGAATATAATATATCGTGCTTGACAATATAAATTTTTTTTTTTTACTTTTATCATAACACATACCTTTCACATTAGTTCTGCCTACCTAGACTGAGTATAAAGTTATAAACTTTTAATTACGTGACCTAAAAATAATTGTACACCAGAAAAGATAAAGAACGAAAATATGTATAACTTATAATGAACCACTTGTGGTAATAAAGAACGTATTCGGCTTTCAGAATATGCAAAGAAGTCTTACTGCAATAAATTTGCAAAACCTAATTTAGTATTTCGTGAAAACTAGTCATAAACGGTAGTATATAGTCAAATATGCATTCAAAATGTTAATTATATTTTTATTTGTTTCAGATAATTTCCAAGGAGACATTGCTATACCTAACGCCGATTATTACAAACCAAGTAATACGCCTCCTTCTTCTAAAATAAATAAATCTCTTCAAGAAGAAGTTGAGAGACTAAAGAAAGAAGTATTACTAGAAGGCCTTCAGGTGGAAGAGGAGGGATTACCAGATATCTTAAGAAAAAGAACAAAACAGCCTTTGCAGCTATCGCAAGAAAAACCAAAGAAGTACAACGAAGCCTCTATTGTTTCTAAGGTAAATGTTAATTAGTTAACACTAAAAAACGAATTACCTTCTATTCCAGATGTTTGTAATGGTATTTGTTTTTTGTTTAGTATTGATTATGAAAGCTATACATGTATTTCCTATTTTTAAGGTTTTACCAGCTGGTTTGGATAAATCACTCGTGTTAAAAAATGGCAAATTACCTCCAGGAGAAACTTTGGATTATTTAGAACCAATAAATTCAGTAAATAACACAAATCAAAACGCAATCGTAGATAATCTTACAGAATCTGAGAGCTTAGAGCAAGATGGTGTTCTTGTCGTTAACATATCAACTGATAATATTTTAAATCTTGATGAACTTTACACGAATATCAAATTGTCAAATACCTCATCTAAAATAGAGGAAGTTAAAAATAAAATTCAAAGCAATAGTCGCGAAATTACAGGTGACACAAACAATAATAATAATATTAAATTTAAATTACCTGAAAATATAACGGTAGCACCAGCACCAACAAATGGAGTATTATCTTCAAATGATCCAGACGAAGAAAAAATAATTAAAAGTGTAAGTAAAACAAAATATAAGCAGAAGCCTGAGATTAACGAGACCAACGACTTACTTCAACCGACGGAGAGTTTACAAACATTGATTGACGATTCTAATGAGCACAAGCGTCATAGGAGGAGAAGGCATGGCAATAAACGGAGGTATATTTGATTATAGTAGTTGTAGTAGGTGAATTTTTTACTAATACAATTTGCTTTATCATTTTATATTTGTATAGGTTACGGAATATACAGTCTATTGAAAAAGATGTAAAATCGTCTGCAGAAGAAGAACTCAACAAGAAAAAGTTTTTTCGTCACCATAAAAAGGTCAAACATGAATTCGAATACAGGAAGTTTGAAATACCCGAGCATGAATTCGAGGAAAAATTTGAAGTCAAACCACCGCCAAAAGAAGTCGTTCCTAATAATGATACCGAAATATTCAAGGATTGGTTTTTTCGGGATTCTGATATAGATTTGGATATGTCTGAAAGTCAGTTTTATAATGCGACAGATAGAATACGACACCGTAGCGCACGTGCAGCGACAAATCGCAAAGAGCGAATATGGGAGAACGGAGTAATTCCGTACGAAATTGACGGTAACTTTAGTGGTGCCCATAAATCACTATTCAAACAAGCCATGCGGCACTGGGAAAATTTCACTTGCGTTAAGTTCGTTGAAAGGGATCCCGATTTACATAGAGACTACATTATTTTTACTGAGAGGCCCTGTGGGTGAGTGAACTATCGCTATAATTATGACCTACAAGCGTCCACAAGTAATGTTTCATAGGCACGACACAGTTCTGTGTTTTAGTGGTTAATTAAATTTGTATTATATTGTTGTTGAGAAACGTTAAAAGTTATAATTATTGTTCAATTCAATTAGTGATAAGATATATTTTATATATCACTGTAAACAAATGCATAAGCAATTATCCAGTTTAATCAAATGAAGCCAAATGATGAATCCATTCAATTGGCAAATTAATATCGAATTATACAATTTCATACTTCAAATTTAGATTTGCCAATTCCCGAAATTAATTTTGTTTGCGATTATTTTTGGCACAAATATTTCATTTGCTTAAGCAAGGTTTTAATTAAATTGAAACATCTTAAGTATATACCTAATTAATTAGTAAAAACATTAAGAAGCGATGTTTCTGTAACTTTTAGCTGAGCTTCAATCTGTGTGATAAAATCTTAAATAACAATCATCCAAGGGAAAAGTACTTTATATATGTGGACTAATACATTATATACATAACTATTTGTGTCAGCGACTTTGTCCGTTTTGGACATGCAAATTTGTTTTTGCAAACCTTCTCTCCATTTTTATAAATTTAAGCTATTACCTATAAGTCGGTCGCGTACCGTCGTTTTTGAGAGTTATTTTTAAAAGATAAAAATATTGTGTTGTGGACATTTTTTTAGATCATTCAATGAGGAACTATTCTTTCATACATATTTTTGGGTATCTTGAACTCTTTTCGCAACGGATCGGACGCCATCCTATTAGTCACAGCGCAATGTTTTATAGCCTATAGCCTTCCTCGATAAATGTTCTAACGAACACAAAAATAATTCTTCAATTTGAACTAGTAGTTCCTAGATGTTTATCTGAACATTTTAGATGTTATTTTTAAAAAATCGAAAATAAATCGAAAAATTTTTCAATTTATTTTCGATTTTTTAAAATTATATAATACCTTCATGTGCACATGTGAAAAATATTAATGTTTTCAAACATTTTAGATGTTGTTCCTTCGTGGGAAAACGAGGAAATGGCGCCCAAGCTATATCTATTGGCAAGAACTGTGACAAATTCGGAATCGTAGTTCACGAACTCGGGCATGTCGTTGGTTTCTGGCACGAGCACACACGGCCTGATAGAGATAGGCACGTCCAAATCATCAGAGACAACATAATGACGGGTGAGTTAAAAAAAAAATTGCCGATTAATGCGAATGCTAATTTATTAACCTTTTCTGTGCGCATTCATCTCAAACATACGCACAAATTATTAATAGTCACATTTTCGGCGATTTAAAGAAAAAACAATAAAAATAAACAAACATCAATCGACGAATTTACGCTACTTTATGAAATACACTTATGTGGTATTTAATATTATTTTTTTCATAGTAAGTACAAGCGTTGAATCGTTGAACGTGATCGTTGGTCTAATCAACGGGTCATGGGGTTTGATCCCGACCGGGTCAAACATATTTCTAATTTTTCTGAAATATGTTGGGCTTCGTCTGGAAATTCAATGGGTGATAGGACTATCAAAATTCCGCCCAGGTCACGGACCACCGTCCATCGTCACGCGAGGATGTCTTTATTAAATAAACCAGTTAAAAGTATTTATCGAACTAATTATTAAAATATGTATTAAGTTTTTATATTGGGATATAATAGGACCTAAATAATGACATTACAATGCCTGATTACTGTAAAAAAACATAATTTATTGCGGTTACTAACTCGGCCCATTTTATGAATTAGTAGATAAAATATTCTTTACACGCGATTGAGTGCATTTGCTCGGTCGTTTGTAGCTGTTTCTTTCAAGATAAGAAAGGTTAGTATAAGTGGTAAACTGTAGCTTGCGATATAATACGTAGTTTTTCTTATAAACATATGACTATTTTTTCAAACATCACCACAAACGCAGAACGTCGTAAATTTCGCTTATGTTCTAACTCTAGTATATATAGTTCTGGCTGGGCTGAGACCTGGACTATGTACTAAGACATGGTAGATCTAGTAATCTAGATCTTATTAATGAAAATCGAATTTGATCAAAACGATTTGTTGTAGGTACTTCATAAGTAACCAAGTTAACACTTAGTAAGTTGGTTTCAAGCAACCAATCGTATTTTATATAATGAGAAAATGAACTTTTAAATTAGGTTCACTAGAAAACGTTTGCAGTACTTTTTTTACGATAAAAGAGGACAGATAAGCATGGGATAGGTGTAATACCCTAGTCTATAGCATCGAAACAAGTTGCGCTATCGACCTATGTTGGCCTTGGACATTCCCAATCCACAGACAGACTTGACAGCTTTTTCACGTACACGTCGGTTCGTGACCCGGACGGATTACAATATTCCTACCGCCCATTTAATAACCAGTTTTCAGACGAAGTCCAACATGATTCAGAAAAATTATGAATTGATTAGAAAAATGTTGGACACGGTGGGGATCGAAAGCACCACCAGTTGAGATGTCCATAGCTACATTTTACAGCTACAGCATTACACCAACGCGCCCGTCAAAATTACCTTAATTGTAAGCGAGATTAAAACGTCTTATAATGGGAATTTAAATTTGCTTAAGTGGCGTCGCGTGCTCTCCAATACTCAATTCTGCGGGAGCCGTTAGCGCTAATTACGTAATCTGCTTACACCGGAGACACACGACCAATTATAGAATCTCCCTTCGTTCATTTAACTGAGGGTATTTTGCACGTAAGGATTTCACGATAGCGGCTCGTTGGTTTAGTGGTAGAAAGTATGGCTAATTATCAACGGGTCATGGATTCGATCCCCACCGTGTCCAACAAGTCCAAATTTTTCAATTTATATGTTTCCTGAATTATGTTGAATTTGGTCTGAAAATGTGGATATTGAAAGGGTGATAGGAAGATACCACGGCTACTGCAAAGCATCCGAAACGTCGGACTCTAGTTAAATCAATTTTCAAATAAGTTTAACTAATATATATCGCGTTTTGAACCGTTAAAGTGTTATTTAAATACTTATGAAAATCGTAATCACTAAATAGGAACACAGATCGAAAAAACCTATAATCGACTAAGCAAATTGTATTCCCAGCATGGATTAACGGGATTTGAATAAGCAAATATTTCGCTACTTCTCTCAAGAGAATACCTTCGAGATAACTCGGTCTGTGTACAAACGAAAAGAATAAAATGCGAACAGCACTTGTCCTAGTTCATTGCGGTCACACACTGTCCGCTTCCACAATCGTGAAGGTAAACAAGAACATAGTGAAAAATTCTTGAAAGGCAGTGCTCCGACCGCAGGAACACTACACTACTAGTATATAAGCTGGTGGAAGAATATTTAGTACCACTCGTATATTCTCTTTGGTTAAAACTTTGACATGGAATCAAGTATATGTTATAATTTTATAGACGCAGACACGCATAGGGTTCGCTTGATGATATGTGAAATACACCGGCCATATTGGATATTCCAAGGTCCACACTCTGAACGGCCTTTTAAACGCGATATTTCTTCTGCTTACCGTTGATCTTGACCTCGACGGAATATCTATATATTCCTACCACCATTTCAATATATCCACACGAAGTCTTGGGAAAAAAAATTGATTGACATGGCCCCGTTTATAGTCGAACCCACGACCCACTGGTTATTATTACCTATTGCTACCATTACACCAACGAGTCTTTCGCAATTTTCGCAAAATATTTATGCTGATATTTTAGGAGTAGCATAAAGGGTGTTGTATTTCCAAAAAATCATATCTCTTCCTACTTCGAAATCTTGCATACTTACATTGGCACTCCTCAGCGGAGTGTTTGGGCGGAATTGCTAATCCCGTAAAAGAGATGAGTCGTAACCATAAAGGATGAGTGCGTTACACGCTACGTGGAACCTCCGAATGTAGCACTTGACCCGAATCCAGCTCAAATCTTATCATTCTCATCTTACAATCATTTATTAAAAAAGTCAGTTCCAGTAGATTACGCGAGTAGTGCACATTTAAATAAAACACAATTTCGCCAAATACTAACTACGACGGAACATATGGCGCTAGTGTAGCAGATTTACTTTAAGCATCCAAACTGACGGGCCGTCATTAAAATAAGTTTCAAATTAGTTTAATTATTATATTTCGAGTTTTAAACATTTAAAGTGGTCTATTTAAAAGTAAATTCCAGGGCAGGTCACACATTTTATTTACAGGCAAGTAAATCATACTTCTGTGCCCCACTCAACTGAATTATTTCCCCAAGATAGGGGCCCAGAGCACTCTCGCTTAACGCAATGCTAGGCAACACGATTTATTAGTTATATTGGCGACTTGTATGTTACGAGTATTATCAAGACCGATTGTGTAATTTATTAAAGCAACTTTCATTCATTCAAGAAGTAACTAAGGAAATTAATAAAACATTTTTCGGTTTCAGAGGCCTAATGCGTTTGAAACCGTTAACTTATTTTTAACGTTGGATCGTAGCGACGTCGTTTAAAAATGAATACTACAAATCTTTTCAGTTTTCACAGTGCATTTCAAATCTCTCAGCTGTTTATATCGGTAAACAAGACATAACAAGTAACCAAATATTGCAGATGTTGCGGATAACGGAAGCAAGATATCCTTCCTGTTTATTCAATGTCATTTTAGGTTCTTTGATCATGACCGACTTATTCTACCAATATTAAACATGTATTGCTAGGATTATTTTTTATTTTGTTTTCTTGCTTTGTTTTAACAATAAATACAGAATATTTTGTATTATATAAACTATGAATATGCGAGATAATATCGGCAGTTGGTAACAATAAGGATAAATGAGCTTACGGAGAGATTAAAACCAGAAGCACAACACTAATGAATTTCCCATACACTAATAATGGTGTACTTTATTAATAGTTTGGGTAGTTATTGTTACAAATATTTATGAAGGATTAAATAACAAAAGCATCGAGGTAGCCGTGTAAGTCCCAGCTGTAACAACCACTGTAGGAATTGTGATTAGATTCTCTTTAGTAATTGTCTAGCTTTGCGTTAAACGTAAGAGGCCGTGGATTCACAATCCTGGAGAGGCATACTAAATGTACAGACTTGAAAATCGATTAATAAATCAGAAACAGCCTTTGCTTTGGGAAATGGGATTGTACTGTCTTATAGAAATGAACAAAAAGTCGTATTGTATTTTCACATGTTTACGAGTAAATAGAATTAAAAATTGCTACGACAAAGCGTGGAAATTGAAAGAAAGAAAGAATACAAATTTAATATACCATAAAATGCAATTATTACATTATATGCTCGCTCCGCATACTCTGTGGGTGCGCAAATTAAAGCCCGGAATGTTTTTTATGAAGCATAATTTTTCATGTCTTTGTACGCATATAAGTTTAAATATATTTTGACGAGCTTGTCATATATTTTTATCTTTTCCCCTCTTTAATGCTTGTTTTGCATATTAGTTGTTATATATAGCATGACCGTCTCTGTAGCTAAATGGTTGAACGTGATGTCTAGCATTGTCTTAAGCACGAGAGGTCCATGGTTCGAATGCCGGGGAAACAAAAAATTGTTTCGGTCGGGCAGTGTACAGACATCTGATCAACTACTTGCTTGTAAACAAAAACCGATCAATGAAACGGACACAGAAATTTCATTTTTATATATATCATAGTTATTTCTTTTCCCTAATTAATTTTTTTTTTTTTTTTTTTTTTTTTCTACTATATGTCCAAATGTATGGGTAATAATAATTTTGTAAAAAAAATGCAATAAAGGTATAATTCTCTGCGATTCCCTGAATTACTGCGATCATTACGGTTCTCCCTTATGAAAAATTCATGAGTAAAATTTCGTTAAACAGATTATGGCTTTGCATTTTCCACATAACAAGTACAATGCTGTATCTGGTATATGCGAATGGTACATCAAATACCACTTTGAATGATATAAAACCCAAACTATATTTGTAACTTGCCCTTTGTCATCTAAAATGTCGGGTCGTGGTCATAAAATTAATTAACAATTTTAGATCGCGGTGGATTGTGTACAGTTATATAAAGGAGTAAGTGTTGTGTTATTATTTGATTAATTCTTTTCAGGGCAAGAGTACAATTTTAACAAACTGACAGAAGAGGAAGTTAACTCTCTGGGACAGACTTACGACTATGATTCTATAATGCACTACGCAAGGAATACGTTTAGCAAGGTAATTAATTCTCTATTATTATTTCATAAGGACGTCGAGCAAAGATGAGGTTAAGTATTGAGTGTAGTTTACGCGAACAGTGTATATTTAAACGGTTTAAGACGCGGAGTATATCAGTTAACTTATTGTTAACTACGCTTCGACGTTTCTGGTGCTTTGCAGCAGCAAGTTTAAGGCTGTTAAAAGTGTTTTATTTACAAGTTACCCGAGCTAATTAATATTCAATTCCACGTACCTACATTGGTTTGGGACATGTCGAAATCCACAGACTGAAATCGAAGCGCGTATCTATACTTCTTTTACTTTTCATCTGAGTTATGGCTGAAAAGGATTTTGACATAAGTACCTACTTAGTATTTAATATCCAGATTTTCCAACATGTTTTAGAAAAATTTTAAAATGTTTTACCTAATGTGAATCGAATGGGAATCAAATCCACGACACGATAATTAGATCAACTAGCCATAAAAAAGTTAATTTGTTTTACACTACCTTGTAGGTAGATTTACTGCTAAACAAATATTAATTACAAGTTCACATTGAAAGCAGTTTGCTTAACGATTATTAATTTACACTTGTGTGATCAAGGTATTTATTTGTACAGTACACGGTATCGCAATGGTTTATAAGTACCATTTTTTATAGTTTATTTCAATATTTAATAGCGCCTCTATCGGAAGCTTAAGGTACCAAAATTATTACTTTTCAATGCATCAACTCTTTTTAAGAAATCATGTCAATTGTCAACAGTTCCACTCTGTTGTCTTTGTATATTCTGCACTATATGCCCAAAATGTTTATAATAACATCTCACATATTTCGTTACTTTGTTTGTTTGTTTAAACGCGCTAATATCAGGAACTACAGGTTTAAAACATATATTTGTGTTGGTTAGAGTATTTCTCGAAGGCTTTAGGCTATAAAACATCACACTGAGGCCAATTAAAGCGAAGAAACTGTGGAAAATGTAGGAAAATATCTTTAAAGGTTTCCGTTGCCTTTAAATACCTACAAATATGTATGAAAGATTTTTTTCTCTATAAATGATCTAAAAATAATAATGACAGTAAAGATTAGGGAGTTTGCAACAAAACAAATTTTGCCCCCCAAAAATAACTATTCTACGCAGACGAAGTGGCGGGGATAGCTAGTACTTAATTACAAAAAAAGGTGCGACATTAACGACGATTGTTATGAAAACGTTGGTATTATCGTGACAATCGTTTGACATACAATTTGGTTCTTCTAGGTTAAGTTGTTGCTAATAAATTTTTAATTTACTTTCGATTAGGGCACGTATTTAGACACAATCTTGCCACTCGAAGTCCACGGGAAGAAGAGGCCAGAAATCGGACAGAGAGTGAGATTGAGTGCCAGTGATATAGCGCAAACCAACCTGCTCTACAAATGTGCAAGTAATTACTGATTTACACTTTGCGGTTTTTATTTTTAAATCTACAGCTGAGAATTCATCTTGCTTCAAGAAGTTGGTTGGTATTGATAAAACCACGCCTGGTTTCTTTTTTTGGTTCTTCATGTTGCAAAAATGAGATCGAGTTTTTTATGTTTCTAGATATTTTTTTGGTAATGCTAATATTATAAAGGCTAAGTACCTGTAAGATCATGTCCGATATTGTTTGTGAATACGTGTTCTTTCGTAGGATAAAAATGTTTTTAATTACAATTCGATTTTAGATTGATAGAATTTAAACTGGATGGACTCGAACCAACATTCACAGCGATTCGTCCTGTTGCTTCAAACAATTGAGCTACCATGTAAAGTTCTGCCCGTGTCATGAATTGTTTTCGATCTAAAATCGATTTTTAATTTATATAATACCATCATGTGCATGTAAATAATATTAAAGTTTTTAAAAACAAAGAAAAAAATCTATCTTTAAGTGACCTTTTCCCATTTCAATAAAATCTGTTGACATGTTTTTACGTATTACAAGAGAAGATAACAGTTTAAAAATCATATGCGTCCACTAACATTAAGTTAAGTTAACACTTTGTTCATAATACTGGGGTCATTGTTAAAACATCGTTTTATTTTTATATCAGAGTGCGGGAAAACCTTCTTGGGCAACTCGGGGTGGTTCAATTCGCCAGGCTGGGGTGCTGAGACGCCCCCGGCTACCTCCGAGCGCTGCGAGTGGCGAATTGTTGCCACGCACGGGGAACGAGTTGTTCTAAATATAACTGGTGAGTACTAGAGTTAGGCTATGCAATTTTTACAAGTGTCATATGTCTTTACATACTCATAATACTTAAGTAATATTCAAAGGTCAATAGGTCGATAGCTCATCTTGTGGAGATGTTATGTTGCTGGGTTATGTCACATCTCATCAAGTGAACCACATGCTTGGCTGTCCGCCTCTGTTAATAAAAAAAACGTTAACTATTGTTCCATAACTATATTTGTTGTTTTAAGTAATTAAATATAGTGTTAAGATTCAAATTGCCTAGAGGTGCGTGTACAAAGGTTAATTAGTAGATAAATAGCAAGTCACGCACTTATGAAGAGCATCTTTTACTCGATAAATTATTTGCTATATTATTTACATAAAAGAGTTAGTGCAAAGGCGGCCTTATCGCCTATGGCGATTTCTTCCAGGCAACCTTTGTATAAATCAAAGGAAAACAAAATAACAATAAATGAGTAAAAGTCAACGAGAATGAGAGAGAAAATGCAATAAATTGTAAAATACAATGATATCAAAACTAACACAACATAACATAAACAAATACTTTAAAAATAAAATACATAATTCGCAGTTGTATATGAATATAAAATAAAACGGTTTAGAGGTTAACAACAACGGAAATAACATAATGTAAGTAAGTAAACGGTATATGTAACGTAACATCATTTTCAAATAAGTTTAACTAATATATCGCGTTTTTAAACCGTTTAACCGTTGTTTTATTCAAATTGTGTTCTACTCGCGTGAAGTACAGACAGTATTTAACAAATTCACTACGAGTATTTAGTGACAATAAGTAATTAACATAGTGGAAAGCATTTTTAACGGATTTGAACTTGAAATATACATTCGAGGTCGTAAACCAATATAACTGTTTTATTTAATGTTCTACTCGCATAAACAATAATAAAAATATTCAATGAACTTCTATTTAATCTCAAATAACGCCCTCCACACATATACAGGTGACAAGGCGCAAATTTAAAAGCGATCCGCCGTAAACTTTTATGACGCTTTACAGTTACAATTGGACGATACAATTGGAAATGTCTAAAGGGCATGAACGTTATGGCATATGGCTCGCCGTAGGCTGTAAGGGCCACCCTAATTTTGTGCAAAGTGCCTCTTGAACCTTTACTGAGTACCACTTTTGTTCTGCTGATGCGAACGAAAATAAAGTCTGTGTTTGAAGTAAATAACTTTAGTGACAATGTTTATAAAGATCTTGCTGGCTATACGACAACATATTTCAATATACGACAAATTATTAATTGTCACCACTATCACATCAAAATTGTTACATAATGTATTTAAACATAATTATAATTTAAACAACTTTAAATCAATAAATAAACGTATAGTTGCAAATGACGTAGGCGTGTCAAAAACAGTTAACTAAAGTTAGTTTTAGGTGCTTGCGAATAAATTTGTAAATCCATTCTATTTAAATAAAACACTTTAACGGATTAAAACGCGATATATATTTAGTTAAACTTACTTGAAAGTTATTTTAACTACGGCCCGATGTTTCGTAGCTCCCTTTGACCACGGCTGCTGCAAAGCATCCGAAACTAATACATATCACGTTTTAAACCGTTGAAATGATTTATTTAAATGTATATTACACGTAATACAGTATAGAAAATATTTAATTCATTCTATATTTTCACAAGAGTCATTTTAGATTAATTTAATAAAACAAAACGATCTCTGCAAGTCATAAAAACGACAAAGCGAAGTTGAATTTCAGTATTTTTAACGAAATTATATATTTCATTACTTTTTATCCCAAAATTTAATGAAACTAATCATATGATTACCGCATGTATCCATTAATTAAACTGTAAAACCAATACCTATTTTCAATTAGTATCACTCACTAAAGTTGAATTAATGCCTCGTAGTACTGAATACTGTTAACAAAAATTAGTTATAATTAATTATTCTATTACATTAATGTAATAATAACTAAGCGAGATGTGTATAAATCAAATTATTTCCCCTTCTATAATTTGAAATTATTTATTATTTTTCAATATAATATAATGTAGTTATCAAGTAATAGTATATCGACGCAAATTTATAATGTTTACACCAAAAAGCACTTAAGGCGTATAAGTTGCAAATGATTCTAAGTAAGATGTAACTTAATTAAAGTCGTTAAAGTATCTGAATGTGTACGTGTCACGTAAATATAATTGTAACGTTACTTAATATTAGAAAAATCGATGACCCGGGCGGGCCTCAAATCTACGACCCATTTTAATAAAGTCAAAGGGTGAACCCTTGTCAAAGATTTTCTAAACTTTCTCAATTAATTTTAAACATCTGATTCTGTCCCGAAATCCTTATGTTTAACAAGGATGTTAACTGTAATGAAAAATAAATATAATTTGTATGCAAAACTTTTTGCTATAGATACACAGATTATCGCAATAATTTTCCTTAATTGTATCTAGCTTTACTGATATTAAAAAGTCTTTTCAGGTGTTTCCTTTGTATTGTTTGACATAGAGGTACTCCGCAATATTTATAAAACGTACAGCTCATGTTATTTTTATTTGTTACATCCACTAACAGTTTACTAGATCTTAAGAAGCCATGATGTCATTAGATCACAGAAATGTTTCCGGCATTAAAACAATAATTTTAGGGATTTTTAAATGTCAAATAAAATATTAAATAATGTACTATGTTTAATAAAAAAAACCTTTAGCAAAATAAGTTAACATCCCTATTGTCAAACATAATATTATCTAAGAACGAAATATGGGGCCTAAAGCAAATATACACAGACAATAATTATAAATGTAAACGGTAAACAATATAATATACGTTGAACGTCGGAACGAAGTGAGTAAATATCCGTGTACTGAAATACATTCCTTCATTGTTCCAATCGCGTTTATTGAAAACTACGGAACGTCTTTGGAACATTTATTGTAGGCGTAATACAATGAGACGGCTCTCATGGAGTTATGTAATACGAATCTGTTAGGAGAGAAGATTTATTGTATTGCAAATTGAGTACAATGTTTTAATAAAAGTGTGTTTTTATACATGACAGAGGAGGAATGATTTATTTTTCACGATTGAGGACAGATAAGGGTTCATTTGTTGAAAGGTGAAATACACCAGCCCTATAACATCTCAATAAGATACGCGGTTAACCTATTTTGACTTTGGATAATTGGAAATCCAGGGACTATATCCAATTTTCCAAACAGTCCAACGTGCTTCTGAAAAATTATACATTAAAAGGAAAAATGTTGGGTGGGAATCGAACAAATGACCTGTTGATTACTAACCCATTGCTACCATTAGATCAACAAACCCGTCCGTCATTTGGAAGGTGAAAAACTACATCTCAGAATCGCTGATTTTCACTTTACGGCGTTTCCAACTGCGGTACTCGTGACTCGAATAAACCCCACGAACAGTTGGTTATTTGTGATATTATAAAAGAACGACGTTTATTTCAAATCTGCTTATTACATTATAATCATTTGCTTATAATATGTACTGACTGTAGTTTACGTGATCACACCTATTAAAAAAACAAATTTAACGATTTGAAACGCGATCTGCATTAGTTTACTTATTAACAATATATTTTAACTACAGCCCGATGTTTCGAATGCTTTGCAGTAGCCGTGGTCGCAGGGGTACTAAAGACAGACGGCGTCCTTAACGTAAAGTAAATTTACTAAAAGTAAATTTCGCGTTTAAACCTGTTAAATGTGTAATATTCAATTGCACATAACTCAGTACATATTTAGTAAATATGAAGTCTTACTAGCTGAAATTGCTGTTTACAAACTAAATAAGGTTATTTATTTTCAGAAATTGACATTCACAAGTCGGATGGATGTCGCTCGGAATGGGTGGACGTGCTTGATGGATATATGCCAGATGCGCCAGTGCTGGGCCGCATTTGTGGTTCGGGCAAAGGGCCAGTCCTGAGATCTACGGGATCAAGATTGACCGTCGTTTATCAACCTGGGCTGAGGCCCAAACCGAATCGGGGCTTTCGAGCGTATTATGAAGGTATGAATTCATTTATATGTACACTACTGCCTGCATTTTATTAGTGAAACTTTACTGAGAAGTCAATTTTTATAACTTTTAGATGGAAACACGCTTTTAAGTGTATTTATGTACTATTTTATAGGTTACCTACTAATATTTAGGCAAATTTTATTTGAATTAGTCTTTTAAGTGGGTACCTGTAAGCTTATTTCGAAGCAGAAATATTAAAAAAAAAATCAAAAGCGTTTGTTTTTAGACAGCTAAAGTATTTGTTTGTATTTTTTATGCTAGCGAAGAAAAAACAAACATTGGGTTCGGTTGATGGTAGGTGAAATACCTCGGCAATATAATATGTAATAATGATGCGCCATCAACCTTTTTTGGCTTTGGATATTCGGAAATCTACTGATTGAATCCGAAACGCAGATTAAAATTCACGGGTTTTCCATTTATGGACGGTAGTTTGTGAACCGCACGGAATTTCTAAATTCCTACTATGCATTTATAAATAATACGATAGTAAAACTATAAATTTATTAGAAAAATGTTGGACCAGTGGGGTTCGAACCCACGACCTTTTGATTATTAGCCATTGCTATGATTACACCAACGAGTCAGTAAGCGTGTATTTTTAAAAAGCTTTAGTTTTTGGACAGCTAAAATATGCGTGTATATATTCTATCAGCTCTCAATGTCAATAAATCTGTACAGACCCCGATCCTTCCGTTTACAGATCCAATAATGTGTCCATATTTCAATGAACCCTTCCTATATCCTTCCTGAAATTCGGGGTTTAATAAGCAATGTTTTTGAATAGTCTTGTATGGTTTGAAATAAAATGGCGGTGGTTTGAAATTCCGTTTCCCTACCGGTATGGGCCAGGTACATTTCTGTGTCACAGATCTATTTTATTTACAAACGAGTAGATAAGAATTTTTTGCCTAATCCGATCGTCTCTATTGATTGTGTTCTCCACGGCTCGATCAAGTTGCTAAACAAAGATTTATACATGAACTATTAAGACCAGAGGTTGTAATTAATATATAATATTATATAATAATAATATCTCTTTAGCCGTATGCGGTGGCGATATAGAGGTAGACAGTAGCGGCCACTTGGAGTCACCGAACTATCCTGATGATTACCAACCCAACAAACTTTGCGTATGGAGGCTTACTGTGCCACAGGTAACAGCACGACGTTTAATTAACTGATGACAATTTAGTAATAAGGAGACTAGATGAGTTCACAACTTTTGATAAAAAATAAATGAATACATTTGTATATGATATAGTAACAAAACAAATGCCAATGCTAAAATTGGCGCGATGCAAATACTGACGTATCTAGACATTGAAACAAACGAAATTATTAAAACTGAATAAATAAAAATATGATATTATACGCCGCTTATAAAGTTTCACTGGCTCCCATCATTAGGTTTGATAGAAATGTAATTGTGAATCTCTCAAACAGGATTACCAAGTCGCGCTACGATTCCATTCATTCGAAGTAGAGAACCACGACACGTGCAACTACGATAAGGTAAAGGTGAGGGACGGCGATTCCAACGACAGCCCACTTATTGGAATGTTTTGCGGTCACAAGATACCGCCGGACATTAGGTAATATATACAATAGATATTGAAGAAAACACACACGACACTCTTTAAATTAACGCATAATATATCAATAACATGGAGAAGAAGAGACGACGTTAATCTTGACTCTAAGAAATCAAAGTAGACATTATTGAATTAAGTTAATGTAAAAAGTATTTGATAGGGGTATTTCTGAACCATATAATACAAAAAGAAATTAGTGACTCTCTGGGGACAAGGACCTGTGACCGCGGCTGCTTCGAAGCATCTGATCTGACGTAGTTAAAAAAAATCTAATAAGTTTACTAACATATCTGTTTTAAAAAAAAGATACTACTCGTTATATCTTAATGTTTCTGGTCGATTTCTAGTTCTTGTGTAACCAGCTGCTTTAATCTTTGAAAACTTTAATATTTTTCACACTTATTGCACAAGATGACACTATATAAATTAAAAATCATTAATAGATTTTTTTTAAATTACGACTCACGTAATACTTGAACAGGCATCCACAGCGTTCCGTGCTGTTGCTCTATCCAATTGAGTTACCGAGCCCTACACGTCATCGTAGAATTTTTTCTACCTATACCAACACCTGTCGTACAGAATAATTTCAAACTTAACATTTGCAGTTATCAATCTATAATCGATCTTTAATTTTGCTTCAATCTTATCATAGGTCCACATCAAACAAGCTTCTAGTGATCTTCGAATCGGATAGTTCGGTGCAAAAAGCCGGTTTCTCCGCGACTTTCATGAAGGAGTTCGACGAGTGTGCGTCTATAGATCACGGATGCAGCCATTCCTGTGTAAACACACTTGGTGGATATGAATGCGCATGTGATATCGGTTACGAGTTGCATTCGGATGGGAAAAAGTGCGAGAGTGAGTATTTCGATTAAATCTTACAGTATTTTAGGATTCCCGATCCAAAGAGTTTAATGATAAAACTCTATCACCTAACTTTAAATTCCTACATAACACCTAACATCAATTAATGTAACTGGTTATGTCCGTTTTAATTTTTTTTTGTAAATACATTTACAGACACTTAATATAAAATAAAATACATACATGCTTTTATGTTCGTTTCCTTGTAAGGTACGGAACCCTTGACACTCGAACTTTCCGTGATTTTTTTCATTAACACTATTTCCACCACACATTTTAAAAATTCGCCAACTGAACTATTGATTCTCACTACATAAAATAATTACTAATAGAGTATCATCCAGAGATAGCAAATGTCGTTGAGATAGTACCTAAGGCATGAAGGACTATTTATTGCCAATATCTCATCTTGTCAATTTTGACTGTTGTAAGATTGTCATTTTTTCAGATGCCTGCGGTGGTGTTCTCTACGCGCCCAACGGGACAATAACTTCACCATCTTTCCCGGACCTGTATCCACCTTCGAAGAACTGCCTATGGGAGATAGTAGCACCACCTCAGCACAGGATTACGCTGAACTTCACACATTTCGATTTGGAAGGAAGCAACAATATGTACCATCAGGTAAATTGATTAATTGTATACTGTCTCCCCGTGACCGCGGCTGCTGCAAAGCATCCGAAACGTCGGGCCGAAGTTAAAAATGATTTTCCAAAGTTTAACGAATATATCGCGTTTAAACCGTTAAAGTGTTTTATTCGAATTGATTGTATTTATTGTGCGCGTGATACATATTAAATAAATGTCGGGTCCTAGTTAAAAATAAATATGATTATTTGTAGTTTGCAATAACCGTTAAAAGTGTTAGATTTAATACTGGTTATGTTTCGAAAATTAAACTGTATATAGCAGTGTATATTACAGCATATGCTTTTTTATGTGTGCATTTAAAATAAATATTCCGATCAAAGGATATAATAGAGAGAACATTATCGCATGAAGGTCAGTCTCAATTAGTAGGAAGATGGCAATTTTGACGTGCCGTGGGCAGGTCGTTACCCACTTATTAATCGGGGTGTCAATGAGTGTAAACTAGGTCTAGTTTTAACGAAGCGCATAGCTTAAACCTAATACTAAATTCTACTATCCAGAACGATGGCGAAGTTCGAAAATATGTCAACTTTCACACACATTCAACAACATTCTTAGCTCTATACATAAAGATATAGATGTTACCCATGACAACGTCCGTGTCCCGCCGTAGTTGCGAGTTTATCTTACGAAACAGACATATATACTGACGCGGATTTTGTTTTTAGATTATTTAAAGAAGAATCATTCTTTCGTACATAGTTTTTGGTATCTATAACCGTTTTCGCAGCGCACGCAAAGGAAGCTCTCGAAAATGAATATAACTTCGTTTTTTTGTTTCTCGTCCTATATTGAGGTTCGACTGACGAAGAATAGAGTAGTTACACTAAGTAAGAGTAGTTACCAGACCAAGACACATGGAATTTAATTATTTAAAGTGTTTAAATAAACATAACATAACAGGAATGCGAATACGACAGCGTCACCGTACATTCGCGTCTAGGAGCGGACGTGTTACGTCGACATGGTGCTTTCTGCGGCACCGTTCTGCCTGCTCCTGTCACTTCGGATGGCTCCGTACTACGAGTACAGGTAATACCGACATGTCTTGATAATTTAATCCTGCTTGAAGCCCTTTGGCCTGAGTTCAGTTGATTGCTATTATACATAACACAGTTATTGAGCGTCGAAAATCTATGAAAGACGTCATTAATTTATATGAGACTACTGGAATATAGCAATTTAAAATGGATAATAGGTATACCAATATGGAGATAACGAAGTCTCTTTCTCGATACATTAGAGATTCGTGAAGTTTTGGCTCATGATAATAGCTAAATTTTAATTATTACATTGCATAACTTAAAGATACCATACCGATCAAATTATGTCAATTAGATTAGTTATTAGAGGTGTACATTAATTAAAAATCCATTTACATTGGAAAAAAATTATGACACGGTCTGAAATTGAGCTGGCATTTACAGCTTTCCTGCTGCAGGTTTACTTAATTGAGCTACCGTGTCGTATACGTTATCGTCGAATCTCTTCAACCCATTGATACGTAGCGTAGTATATCGCGCTTTTTTTTATTTATATAACGCCATGGTGTGAACATATTAACTAAACATTTTAGCAAAAATGTCTTCCATTGTTTCAGTTTACATCAGACACTTCCGTCCACCATTCTGGTTTCGCCGCAGCGTACTATATAGATGTAGATGAATGTTCCGATAACAATGGTGGATGTCAACACGAGTGCCATAATACCTTGGGAGGTTATGAGTGCGCTTGTCACAGTGGGTTTACCCTCCACCCAAATAAGCACGACTGCAAGGAGGGTGGTTGCAAACATGATATTACACACCCACATGGAACTATCTTTAGGTAAACAGCGTCTATATCCCACTCATGACAAAGTCAGGAAGAAAAAGAGTAGAGAAGGGTGTTTTTTTATGATAGAGGAGGCCAGACGAGCTCACTTTACGGTAGATTCACCTACCCCAGCCATATATCGTCTGGACAAGGTCTAAAGAAGCCAAAAAAATAGCATATACGAAAATCCACAGACTAAAACCGATACGCGATTAAATTTCACGGCTTTTTCATCTATGGACAGTGGTTCGCGACCTGGATGGAATTTTGATACTTTTATCATTAGAAAAATTATATGTTGATAAAGAGACATGTTGGATTCGGTGGGGATCAAACCCACGAAGCGTTGGTTCGCCATACATTGCTGCAACCGTTTCGTTAATATGGCTCGGGTGACCTAACTTATTACTATTAAACTTAATTTTTATTGATTATATTTGATCTTAAATGAAGCTTATATGTATCTTGTACTTGCAGTCCAAACTATCCAGATTCATATCCATCACGAAAGGACTGCGTTTGGCAATTCTCAACAACGCCAGGTCATCGCATCAAGTTAATATTTAACGTGTTTGAATTGGAGCCGCATCAGGTAAAGTTAATTATTTCTTTATAATTCTTCATTTAGCTCAATATTTGCACAATTGAGGTCCCTCGGTCGATGTATTAATTTCGATTTTTTACATTTCAGGAATGCACCTACGATCACGTAACAATATACGATGGCGCTTCAGCTGATGAAAAGACACTTGGGCGCTTTTGTGGAAGCAAGCTGCCACACCCAGTTGTCGCTTCACAAAACCAAATGTACGTTGTATTCAAATCGGACGCCTCAGTTCAACGAAAAGGATTTCTTGCTACATATTCCACTGGTAACAATATTTTAATAATTCTACTTACTTGTACATGTCAAAACATTTCTAAAACTAGATACGCCTTCTAATCTAGATATTTCCTAAGTGCTTTGTAATCATGACAATAGTTCTGATTCTGTGTCGAGAAAGGATCTATTAATTTGTATTTTAACTAAAAAACTTCCAGCCTGCGGCGGGTACTTAACAGCGACAGAAACAGTTAAGCACCTGTATTCTCACGCACGTTACGGTCATGATTCCTATGAATCTCTTGCCAATTGCGACTGGAGTATAGTAGCCCCAATGGGTCAGTTCGTGCGGCTCACCTTCCTTACATTTGAACTAGAACCAGAGGCGAACTGTGGTTATGACTTTGTGCAAATCTTGGGAGGATTAGAAGGCAGTGTTGGACCTTATGGAAATTATTGTGGCACAAAGGTATGAGTTTCAAGATATACAGTTTATTGGTCCGTTTTTGCCTAGACCTGGGTATTCGCCTTAACAAATATTTTGAACACGATTAGGGGACTATAGGCACAGGGAATTATCTTTCAATAGGTCGACAACGCAACTTGTCCAGATGTCATATGGCTGGGATATTTCACTTACCATAAAGTGAACCCTGTGGTTTTCTGTCCTACTCTATCAAAAAGCTAACTTTCATTTTGAGAAATACCATATAGGTAGATACTCTACCATATAGGACCACTTTTACGATAAAATTGTACGTTATTAATTCAAAATCTCTTCCGACAGATGCCTCCGGAAATAGTGTCAACAACTGAGGCTTTGCTAGTTAGATTTCGAACAGACGACTCCATAGTCTTTAAGGGATTCTCGGCTTCATACCAAGCTGTGAAGCCGGATGTATGGAGTGGCGAAGACAGTTCCGAAGGTGGAGAAGATGAAGATGAGGAGGAAGACGAACAGATGCCCCCCCTGGTTGTCGGCAGAAGGGGTCTCCGAGCACCATCGGCAAGATACGTGAGACGACCCACGTGACGGTGGCCACAACATCGACATCCAAGGCACAGGCGTCCACATCGCAACACCAGAATTCGCGCCAAGTCTGTGTCTATGCAAGGGCCCTATTAGACAGGGAAATCGTATTGCGCCCGATAATGCTATCGCCAAGCTTAATGACGACTTTTAATAGCTATTACTGTACGAGAAGCGTACTTAATAATTAAAGAAACAAAGTCGCAACCGGACAAATAATAAAATAATTTCTGCGCCATAGCATTTACAACTTCAGTTATTAACGTTTGAACATTTTGCTGCGAAGCATATTATGTTGACTGTAAGATGGCTTGTCCACAAAGTAGCTATGACATTCTTTTTTTGGTATATTTTTCAAATATACACCGTGTGTCCTTTATAGTGATACAGTGAATATTTTTCCAATAACACATTTAATAAACTGCATTTTCGATAGTTTTTTAATTACTTAAACTATTTATTTATTAGGCAAGGCAGTCAGAATAATTGCATTTTCCATTTCATAACTGCTTTTGATTGTACAGACATATTGTATAGGAGTTAAATTATGTTAATTAAGATTAGGATAAGTTATAGATAGGTTTTACGTACTGCCTATTGGATACCAAAATACTCACTACCTGTAGTCATTTAATTATATTAGTAGCGACGAGACAATATTTTCGTAGATTTAATTAAGTAATATAATTAGTATACTTATTGACTAGTAACCTAAATAAGTCAGTTTTTTAATTATAATACCAAAGATTCGTTATTTGTTCATTCAAATAATTCACGTAAAATAGGTCTCTCTTATTTTTTAAGATTTTATTTTTGTACTTACAGACACGATTATAATGCGTTATAAGTTACATACATACATACCAATCCAATTTTTATTTGTTTTTGTTTAGTAAACATAATTTTTCATTATCTTGATTACTGTTTGTCATTTAGTATCTGAGAAATATCTCGATTTTTATAATGTAGAATAGGTATATTATATATAATAATTTAAACAAAATCATCCTAATGATTCGAATGATCTGTAAAGCATCTGAAACGTAGGTAAAAATGGATCTGATTATATAGTAGATATAATGTTTTTAGGCACATAACTCTGGAAAGACCAGAAACTAACATTATAATGTGACAATATTAAATATTAGGTATCTCTTTAATTTAAGAGTCAATCATTAAATGTTGTAGAAGAGTGTGATAGTTACATTTATACAATAAAATCATAATTGTTACATAACTAGATACCTACTGATATCTAGTTTGCATAATTAAATACAATAATGGTTATAATTTAATAGCCATTATTTTTCTAGTGCAAACTTATTTCTTTCTGAACCATCTAGTCAGAGAGAATAAGTAATTGTCGTTTAATTTGTCTACGCTAATAATATCACACTTCTAAAAGCATCCTTTTAGTTTTATTAATTTTTTAATTAACATGCTATAATATAGAAGTCTAATAGATACATTCTTGAATCTACTTCTTTTTCCAGAATCTCCCTGTTCAGTGCCAAAAATTACTTACTACATGTTAAGTGTTACTAGGTATTTTATAGGACACACCTAAGTAGTATGTTACGAAGTTTTTACAATAAAATATGTTATGAAACTCATTTGTGTTTTTATTCTAAAACGAGATGTGGCCGCCACTATATCCGGGTGGAATTGTTATCTTGGACATCAAAATTTGTTATAACAAGCCTTCTCCCCATCTTTATAAATTTTATGAGTTACCCACAACGTCCAGTTAATCAAGTCCAGGTAATCAAGCATATACTGTTGCGGATTTTAGAGAGGAATCATTCTTTAATACTTATACGATGAATAAAATGTATGAACGCAATATGAATTAATTAATGCTTTCTAAACTTAATAAATAACTAGCAAAAGTTATTTTATTGTTTGCAAGATTAATATTATTATGATTAATATATTATATTTTCGACCAAATTTAGCTACCATAACAAGTGTCATTCGTGTCGAACTTAAATGATATAAAAAAGTGTAGTCATTATTTACTAAATATTTTCTTTTGGTTCTTGACCGATATTCCTTTGCAGGGCGACCCTCAAAAATGAATCTTCCACTTTTTGTATCTTCGCTCCTATTGGTGCGATGTGATGATAAATAGCCTAAAAACCTAGGGAAAATTTTAATTCGAGACACACAAACGTACAAACTCTTTAACTTTATAACCTTGTAATATTGATAGCATTGCATTACATTAAAAATCTGCACTTTAAATAACTTTTTGAAATATAATAAATTGATAAAATATAATAACAGTTAGTTTTATTGAAAATTGTCATAAGTCATCTGTGCATGCCACAGATACTACGTTTGTCAAGTTGTCAACAAGACTGTCAGATTTATTTTATTTATCATTTTGCGTATATAAATGTGTGGTAAACGTAATACAATGTTAAATTGTTATTAAATTAATTCGCTCTTTCTTTTGTATATTTGTTGCCGATAGCTATTAAATATTTACACGCAATAAATTAAAAACTGTTAAGGTTTTATAAAATGGCATCTTTAGCAATTAGGGTGAAGAGTAAAAACGGTCAGCAGTTATTAAAAGACTTGACCTCTGATAGCACTGTGGGTGAACTAAAAATGTTTCTTTCAAGCATTACGGATGTGAGTTGTGAAAATATAAGCGTTTTATTAGGATATCCCCCGAAACCCTTAGACATTAGCGATAACGAAAAGAAACTTAGTGAGATCGGTTTGAAAACTGGAGAGACGTTAATTATTGAAGAAAAAATTGCGGCCGCTAAAGAGAGTGCCAGCCAAACACATAGTGATAGAACAGTAGAGAATGGGGTTGCGCCACAAGAACCAGTAGGGCCCTGTAGACCCGGAATTCTCATGAAAAAAGTGGTTCCTTCAGACAATTCTTGCCTTTTCACTAGTATAGGTAATCTTCCTAGTATTTTATTGTTCTATGCCCATAATGTTAAGTTTCATTTCTATATTTTCAAAGACTTTTTTTATTTTCAGGTTTTGTTTTGAATGGAAATATTGATACAACAGTTCACACACTTATGCGTCAGATAATTGCAATGGAAGTTGCTAGTGACCATGAAACATATAATGAAGCTATGCTTGGAAAACCTAACGCCGAATATTGTGCTTGGATACAACAGCCAAGCTCATGGGGAGGTGCCATAGAGGTTAATTAAACTAGTTATCAATTAAACATATCTTTTTTGTGACTGTTATTGTTTTAATGAGGTTGCCCTAAATGTTTTGTTACTGCTCAAAGTCATTGTATCAATTTAAGATTGTATACTTTTGTCTAAAATGGAATTTGTTTGGTCATTTACAGGTAGCAATTTTGTCTCGATTTTATGGACTAGAAATGGCAGTTGTAGACACATTAAACGCAATTATAAATAGATTTGGGGAAGATAAAAATTATGGACAAAGAGTATTTCTACTTTTTGATGGAGTCCACTATGATCCCCTGTATTTGGAACAATCTGATGTGAGATATATTATAGAAATATATATTTCAATATAATATATGAACTATTTAACACTTATCTTTACATATTTCAGGGTGGCCTACAGACAGTCTTCCCTGCTGAGGACATGGATATATATAAGGAAGCAGAACAACTTGCCAAAGAAGCCAAATCCTCAAGACAGTTTACAGATTTAAATAAGTTTACTCTTAAGTGTATGATTTGTGACCAGCTCCTTACGGGTCAAGTGGAGGCGCAGAAGCATGCTAAGGAAACACTGCACACGAAATTTGGGGAAGTCTAGCATTCAATGACTATGCCTAAACTTGGCATATTTTCAATACTTAATAGGAGTTTAGAAAAATTTCTTCAGGCTCATCATTAAATTTTGTTTGGGCTATGACTACACACTAATCTTTCTCTAGCATTGTTCGTCTAACTACGAAGTTAATTAGATTAATAAAAGTGATGTATTTACAAATTTTTGTATGATTATGGTTCTCTTTTGATTCCAAATATTGATAAGCATTATATTTTATGTTTTTTTATATTTACTTTTATGTTATATATCAAATGAATAAATTTCTTTTTGAGACTGACATAGTTTTACATTCAGAGATCATGAATTTACATATAAAATTATTGTAGTAAACTACCAACGAAACTCACCAAGTGCTTATATTACATTAAAATAACAAAATCGAAATATTTTCTTTGTAAAATAGACCATAAATATTAGAGAGTTTTTAGGTTAACTATTTTGTGTAGTGCTAACTGTACATAAAACATCTGTGACACGCGAATTAGCAAAAAAAAATTATTAGTTTTATTAACAATTACCTTATGCTTTGTTTTTTATTAATGCATCTCTGTCACAATTAAGTATTCATTACATCAGAGTACCTAAATAGCATTAAAATGTATTTGTAAATATGCTGTTTTATTTTCCTCAAATTATAGGATCCTCAAAAGATTATTTTTATAAGGTAAAACAAATACTAGCTTCATACAAACAAAATATATATACATATATATTAGATAAAACAAAAACAAAACCTTTTTGTCCTGTAATGCAGTCCCGCCCTTACGTCACATTTATTCAATAAAAAGCCGATTTTGAACTGTGGCTTACTCCTAATGGAAAACTGAAAATATGTACTACAAGTTTATTTGTTGAAAACCGTTAAATTTGTTTTATTTGGTACAAATTTTACTAAACCCATTAACGGAGTGAATATGTGTAAAAAAAGGCAAGAAAAATTTTGATATGATTTATTTTCAACACAAAAATGTACAATTTCAATAAATATAGTATTCTAGTCACGTCGGATTTCTATCACTTGTCGTTACTTCTATGTTTCAAATTATGATGTTGTTTGACAACATTTAAGCTTATAAATATGTATGTATTACAAGAATATTGAAATTGTGCACTGCGGGCCATCCATAGCGAAAAATTGAGCTAAGTTAAATCTTTGAAAGAGTATTTTATACTCTCAATATTATCAAGCCTCGTGTTCTGAATTTAGAAAATTTCACTAAACTTTAAAAACATTCACATTTCTAATATTTCCACGTTCACTACGAGACACATGACTCATGTGACAGCACTCAAAAGTTAAAAAATAAAGTGTAATTATTCTAAGAAATATCTAAACTTAGTGTCTTCCTACTATAAGCGCTTGTCCAATTAAAATACTAAATTAGTTTGATTAAACAATTATTTACAACCCTAATAAAATATGTATATACGAAAAGGTTATAAGAAATTTCTTTATGTAACAATTAATATTGTATTTTTTGGAAACATGTTTATAAATAATATAATAATGAACATTATTAGTGATAATTGTTAATTTATTGCTAACATTCACAACTTTCGTGGAGTGCCTACATTACAGAAGCAAAAATAAAATTAGATATAAGTTTGGTTTGCATGGTGATATTAAGTATAAGCCGCTGCAGCAACTTTATTATTGCAGCAACAGCTGAGTGCACTGCACCAGGACCCCGTAGTTTAGGAGGTGCCAGGGCTAACATCATCTTTGAAAAGATATTAAATTATTATGATAAGATTCACGCGAAACAACAAAACAAAATTAACGCTACGCGGAAAGATGGCGTGAGGGCCCGATTCTTACTTACGAGGTCCTCGTTTACCTAACTAGTGGTAGTGAGCCCTACACAGGAAAGTATTTATGTGTTGTTAATTCTTTTTTGATACTAATGGTTTTAATAGTAAACCATTTTTTGTTCTTATTATGTATGATTTTGTATGTGTACTTTTATCGTGGAATAAATAGTTGAAATTTGAAGTATTTGACATAAAATAGAAAACGCTGTACAAGTGTTGACGTTACATAATACATAATTGTTACTGTGTTCTTAACCAATAAAATCAGATCGAGAGATTTTTCGTTATTACACTTAATATCTCTATGGATGCACCCAAGCTGTAATTAATTAACAACAGATATTATATAATAAACAAGTCTAACTACACAGAATAATCTCGTCTTTATACTGCTTAGGTACCTTCGTATTAATTTCTACAATCACAATAACCAAATTCGCTTCTGATATTGTCTAAAATATAGACATGATATCAATCGTCACTAGTGAAGACGTAATAGTGTTTCAAACTTGTAAATAATGTACGAATGATAAATCGCTTACAAAAGGAACTAAAGCGTCGAAAAAGTGCTCAAAAACATATTTTATTTGCGTATTTGTTTATCTAAAGCAGTGACGGCATCAAATATAAAAAAATAAGTAGTATATGATTTTAGAATTGTTACTCTTAGTGCTATAAAATAATATAAAACAGCTAAATAATAAGCAAAACTATATGGCAAAATAGTATTAAAAATAATTTGCTTGTTTTTGGAGTATAAAATGCTGCGAGGTGCGTCTGAACATTATAGAGTGCGATAGTCGATAGAACTGACCTGGTGGTTATTATATACGACTGCTTTATAAAAATATTTCAATCTTATTATCCGTGAAAAATACACAATGGTGGTCGGTTCACGCAGGTATGCTGTGCACAATTCGAGTTAAAAATACATTTTAATCATTTATATGCTATTTGCTTTATCGTTCAAGAGCGAGATGAATACGCACACACGCGTAGGCAGTGAATAACTCCGAAAATTCAATTAACTAAGGATTTCCAAGATGGCGGACAATTTGTACATTGTGTAGAATTTAATAATTCCAATGCTGCCATGGGGTTTATACCAAAAGTAAGTAAGTAATTTTCACTATAATAAATTATATTCTTACTCTGTACCATTAGACTTTTACCATATTTGCATATTTCCCCCCTATAAATATAACTTGCAAATTTTCCGCCATCTTTTATTGCCTAAAGATCTAACGTAGCCCGAGGAACGGCTAATAGACTCCGTCGACATCGAATTGTATATTCTAATAATATATTTGTCATTGGTGCCTCAGAGGCTCATTCATGTTTTCTAAATGTGTCGCAACGAATCTTTGAATTTTTTTCTCGATTCACGGCCTTGACACATTTCTGAGGCTTACTGCGCCTTAGGATAGGAGAATCTCGGCAGGGAGATTCCGAATTTGGTTTCTAGGCCCGTTAGAATAGGCGTGGCCACTTGGTAGCCACCGATGTGGTGTGGTTTCTTCTTAGCCTCTTCCACGTGCGTTGCAACTGTTAGCTCCGATCCAGCAGGTCGGCTGAAAAAAATAAACAGATATTAGTTCAGTCGAAGCTTACAATAATTCCTGTTTAGCTAAGTATCCAGCTTTATTCACAGTTCATTTATAAATGTGCCTCAAAGTATTCTAAACATTCATACCAATTTTATTTATAGAAATTATTGTGACCACACCTCTATTTTAAGGACTAATTACACTGGACTATATTTGTGTAAAAAACTTAAGGAAAATACATAATTCGGGTTTTAAACGATTTAAAACACTAATTATGTATTTATTTTACTAAATACCGTAAACTATCGAAAATAGTTTTATTGTTGGTGTAATAAATAACAAACATTAGGTAATGTTTTTAAGTTCATTAAGAATAATCGAAAAGTAAAAGAGAAAATAATTTATAATAATGATATTGTGTCCTTGTTGTTTGTAGGTTGTAGGAAAGAGACAGCACTACTTGTTCGTATGGTGATTGGACTATAATTATACTTATAGTAAATTGACACTTACGATCCACCAAAGTCCACGTAGAACAGACGCTGCAATATTTCATATGTGACCAGCGTCACCGCGAACTGAGGGGATGAACGGAACACTCGAGCTGGAATTAAAAATATTCGTATAATCTGTGATTATGAAAGAATTACTTAATACATAATTTCGTCGACACTTACCCACGGCTCCCTTCCAAAAAGCTCTAGCGCCTTCTTCGGCCCAAATCTTCCTTGTTGCATCAATAACGCCGGTGTAGGTCGTTTGACCGGACCGAGCTACCACCTACAAATATTTGAATTCAGATAATTTTAAATAATTTTTATTGGATCATAACGATTTAGTTCCAAATCGGGCCGATTATTGTTCAATTTATTCGGCAAACTTAACGTTCTAACAAACACCTACACTCTCGAAGAAATTATTATGTTTTATGATTGAGAAGGACAGACAAGCATAGGATTCAATTGATGATAGGTAAAATACCCCAGCCTACAATATCTAAAGAAAATGTGCTATCGACCTATTTTGTCTTTGGAAATTCTTACTTAATAACCAGACGAAGTAAAACAGAAAAATTATAAATTATATAGAAAATGTTGAGCCCGGTGGGGATCGAAACCCGACCCGTTTATGATTAGCCATACAATGCTACCATTACACCAACGAGCCTGTTTTTGACGCCATTCAAAACCTTTGATAAAAGAAAAAGCAATTAGCAAGACTCAATTAGAACTTTTTAACTCTTTTTGCATTGGACCTATTTTTTACCCTTTTTTTATATTACAAACAAAAAACAGATTTGTATTGTATTTTTACCTGAAGTCGCGTCTTGATGACGTCAGCGGGCGTTACAAGAGAAGCCGCTGGAACACCAGCTATAGCACCCGCAGCTAAAAGCGTCAACGGGTGATTATAACCGTTCTCGTCAGCGAAGTGCGCCTGTAGAATTCAGTCACGAAATATTATAAACAGAAAAACCGTGAGAGGCTAAAATTATTTCGAATTGTTAAAGGTCGGTTTAGTTATTCAAATAAATTGTATATTAAAAAAAAAATCACAAATGAAAAAAATACAACAAGATCAGAGTAATAGAAATAGTATAACTTAATGTATAAAAAAAAAAAATCCCAAGGGAGACCCCTTATTATGATTATACATACGCAATTAAGGACCCCAAAGGGGGCAGATTAGTCGATAAAATTTTAACATGAAATGTCTTTTTTTTGAAGCATAAACTTAAAGTTTACCTTGCAATGCGCATACGCAGGGAAGTAAATAGCACTGAAGGGAACATCGCGAAGAAGACACGCTTTAGCGCCCTTGTATAAGCCGAAGAGCCCCAAATCTTTGACTACGGCCCAAGCTCTGACTTTGCTGCCACCAGCTATTTCACCCGCAACTTGAAGACGGATCTTTACGATTTCCAATGGATTGGTGAATACCACTTGAGACGCACCAGCCTAGACATTTGTAAAATAGGCATCTTAGTTTTATTTTATTTGAGAGGAAGACAGACAACTGTGGTTAATCTGATAAGATTTGTCTCGTCAACTTATCTGGTTGTGGATATTCGGAAAGTTGTGTGTTCTGGCTAAAATTAGTTTATATTAGTGTAATATGTGTATGATATATGTGTTTTTGACGTTCTAAAGTTTATTATGCACGAGAGATGCATGCCTCAATAGGTTGAAAAATTTCGACGATGACGCGTAGGTCACGTAACTCAATTAGTTAGAGCAACGGTTGTGGATGCCGGTTTAAGTCTTGCCCATGTAAAATTGTTTCAATCTATAATCCACTTTTTTCTAAAATGTTGCTATTTATGTGTAAGTATTTGATTTCACACAACTTTATACTTACACAAGCTCCGGCAAGAATTTCAGCAGGCAGAGTAAGGTTTCCTTTCTTATCCATACATTTGTCTCGAACTAGATCATTCATCTGGTAACAAAACACTATTATTGTCTCAAATACTAAATTATATTTTTTTTAATATAATTGACAATTAATAATTAATTAGATATTATATGTTGTTCAGATGTCAACTGGTAAAGCTATATTGGTAATCGATATACAATGTTTTAAACATTTAAATATAGATAAAACAAATAAATCTGATGAAAGACCTGCTCAGAATCGGATCCACTATAGTTTTTTGTGCAACGACTTTTTTTAATGATAGGGGAGGACACAAAAACAAAACCATAAAATCGACACAAAATGCGCTGTCGACTTATTTCGACTTCGAATATCTGTTCTATTCTGTATTTTGGCTAAGCGCCGTTAACCACTATAGTAGCCATACATTGTTACTAGGGACCTACAAACAAATCATCATACATATTATGACTTACAGTCAGTTTTATAGCCTTCTCCGGAGCGACACCAATAAGTTGAGGCACCAGACCTCTGTAGAGTCCAAAGACTCCTTCATGTCGGATTACTTTCTTGAAACAGTCCCAGGAGTTTCGGTATGCAACTTCACCAATGAATGAACCGGTACGCTGGTTCTGCATCCGAGTTTTTACAAGGTCAATTGGGTAAACAGCTGTGGCCCCCAACGCTATAAAATGTTAAGAAACAGAATAAATATTTTGCATAACGCAGTAGTTCTTTGGCTTGAGATTTTTTTTTAAAAAAAAAATATATTATTAACACTACATACATACATCCTAATAAAATAAGGTATTTGCTTGCAAATATTTCGTTAGGTCTAGTAAAGGGAAAAAACATATTTTATTTACAAGACCTGTTTAAACTAGTCTGTTTGTGTGCCATTTTTTTCAATCTCTCTCAATCAAAACGGTTAAATAGTGGAAATAAATATGGTGGTTTTTAATTTTTTAAAATACCAACTCACCACCAGCAAAAGAACCAAGAGTGAATCTGTAAGTGCTTTCCAAGATCTGAATAAATACACCTCTCTCCTCTGGACTCTGAAACAAACATAAAAAATATATTTTGTACAATATTGTAACTTTTTTTATTATTTACTGAAAATCCGTTGCAATGGACACTATAGTATATCTATGTATTGAAATTATTTTCGTTATATTTATTCATAATGTTGCAAACATTATGAAATAAATTATTCTAGATTTCTGACAGAAATTTCATTACAAACACACATAGTGCCACTTAGTGCCCACGACAAAGTTTGGAAGACGTAAAGCTAACATGCACAATAATTTAAAAACCCTAAATGATGTCGTGTGTTATAAATTCAAATATAATATAATAACGAGCATAAGACAAGTTAGCATAGTTAAAGCAAAACTTCCCAATCTGAACACGAGGCGGGTAAGTGCGCACTAATGTCTTGCGTAGTAAAAAGTTTTTGGATAATCTGCGCAATACGATACAACTTCAGATCGGATTAGAAGTTTTACAATCACTAAAAAATTGGATATATGGGATATATATAAGAGTGACTTCGATGAAACGTGAACAAGACGACAGTGTATATATTTTGATATAAAATGGCTTACCAGAAATAATTGATTTAAAATCTTGCTATTACGTGGTAGTGTTTCGGCTTTGTTGTTGGAAATGATAATTTCTTTACCATATTATGTTGGAAATTGCGACATAATGAGGCTCTTTTGTTAAAGATAAAAGCTTAATCTCTAGCCGTGTCTTTATTAATGAAAGCTACTATATTTAAAACTCAGTACATGTGGAGTGAGGTAGGCTGTGCCTTATCAAATTGAAGACGGAGAATCGTGAGATTTCAGTAAATATTATGTAGACAAAAATACAAGAGGGCCAATACGATTACATTGTAACTCGTTAGACTTAATTATCCAATCCCAAAAACTTTTGGTCCCGCTCCGCGGTTAACTAAAATCTCACAATGGTAAAAGAAAACAGAGAAACATCATAACTTCAGTGTCCTTGTACTCACCAGGATGCTTCCGAACAAGTTTACTAATCGAAAAGGCCCTCTTAACTTATTTACCTCCTCCTTTTGAGCATTGAAAGAAAGAGAAAAATACACAGCGGTAAGTTAGTGATGTTTCCGATGTAACACACTACGAACACATTGTAACTGCTCTAGTATTCGCAAGATGAGGTTGGTGAAAGTGATTGTCGGACGCCCGAAATTGATAAGTTCCACTTGGAAGATGTGTACTCCTTATATGGTCAATAGGAATATTAATTTCGGGCGTAAACACAAAAGGGCTCCCGCGCACTAGACAGCGTGGCTGCGGCAGCAAGATTATTTGTGCAGCTAGTTAAAGCAGCCAATTGATCACCATTCACGATCCCTTGGTCGAGAACATCCTTTTTTAAATTTTTTCGTGATTCCCTGACAACTTCTTTTTTTATTTTAATCACGGTTTTTGTATAAACAATTTGTGGTAAATTCAGAGTGAATTTACCACAAATTGTTTTAAGGCTTTAATTGTAGTTTTTTAAGAGTCAGTTGTTAGTATATTTTTTTTGTAGTTTAGCCGTGTAGTACACATGAAATAAAACACTTTTAACGGTTTGAAATTGGAGATGTATTAGGTACACATATTTACAAACTATTTTAATGTAGCTAACATAATTTGTAAGTAAGTTTAACTTATTCACTTCGCGTTTAACCGTTTAAAATGTTTTATTTAAGAGTTCAATATCCCAAATGTATCTGGGTGCTATAACTAGTGCTCGGAGCTTGAAAAAAGTTGGCTGGAATTGGCTGCCCAGAGTCACCTGGCTCTTGTGCCCAAGCTCCCATCCAAAATCATATCGTATTTTTACTGGCTACCGCAACCAGGCTGCATAGTACCGGCCTAAATAATTACTTACCGAAACTGCTTTGATCTCAGCAACACGCCTCGTGACTTGCTTGAAGTATTGTTCTGGTGTTATCGCGTTCAAGTCATTGTACACGATGCGTCTGTAAAAGTATTAATATTTAGATAAACACTTTAATAAAACAAGTTCAACCGATTTAAACACGAATTGTTTGATTTCAATTTAGACCTATTATGTGAAGCCTTCCTTTTTTGATGATGGATACTAGAAGGCACTAATAATCTATTCTTTAAAAAAGCGGGTTTAAATCGGGTGAACTTGTTTTATTTTACTACATCTCGCAGAAACTATGAATTAAAACCATTCTTAATACCATTAGCAAGTCCATAGAGTAGGAATGAAATACTTGCAAATTAAATAATGAAGAATGAAAGGGATCGTATAAAACAAAGCGAGCTTTGAATCTTAGCTTGTTAACTCACAGTAGGAAACAGGTCCATTCAAAATGGATTTCGTTTATACAACGGACTTTGTGCTTTGAGGTATCAAAAATACATTCGAACTAATATGCGTGAAAAGACTTATTTGATAATAGTATATGGTACAGGTGAAATTCTAAGCTTAAAACAAACTTTTTTCACACAGGAAGCGAACCCAGAATGTCTCGTGTCTTTAAATTCCGCAGCGACCAGCGATGTGCCGGCTGACGCAGGACTAGGCACAAAATATGACCAGCTTATTACTGGTACATGATAATACTTAATAAATATTGCTTTACCAGTTGAATTTTTGTGTTAGAGGTGCAATATGTTCACTCGATGGAAGGTAAAATACTCGAGTCATCTAATATCTCAACAAGATGCGCTATCAACTTATTTTGAGTTTGGATATTCGGATATCTATAGACATATATTCGTTACCCATACGGAATTTCCATATTCCTGCTACTTAATATCCAGATTTACAGAAAAAGAATATCAAATTGATTAAAAACATGTTGGATTTAGTGGGGTTTGATCCCCACTAAACCCCAAGGCCCGTCGGTTACTAATCAAAACGAAGCTCTCATTTCTTTATAAATGCACCTCTCCAGGTACCGCGTTTTGTTATTTTAAGTTTTTAATTGCTTAAAATACGATAATATAAGAAATGGGGTCAGTTATACTTCCAGTAATTATAAGTATTTGTTAATATAGGCATTATCTTCTTTATCTTCATAACGTTTACACACTTTTTACGCAACGATAAATATTATCAGAGATTAGTGTTCTGGTCAGACACATAAGTTGCTAAAAATATTATATAACGGACGTTATTTGTCGATTATGTCTAGACAATCATGTTAAACAAATTTCGTCACATATTTACTTTGAACTGGACTAAATAACAATGATGTAATAGTTGGCTTGAAATTTGTCAATTATTATCATTATAATAATCGCTGACCAAAAATTTCATAACCTTTATTGGTGTTGGTCAGGTCAGCAGTGCCCTGGGTTCAAATTACGTGCAAAAAAAAACTACGGTTGATACAGTAATTTAAAAATGCCGTATCAACATATTGGAGACCCGTTTTAACGTATCGTAGCTTATCTAATCTGAGACATATTATCTACTTTTTTCCATGACATTGACTATTAGATGTCAATTGAAGGTCAAAAGAAAAAAATAGTGATGGTGTTTTATATTGTGGCTTATTATGAAATACTCTAAACTTGAAAGAGCTACTTATAATTTAAAAAATTCTCGATCAAAAAATATTAAGGCTCTTCGACTATAAATTTTTCAACTTTTTGCGATGTTTTTGGCTCAAATCAACAGAAAAAGTACAAAAAAAAACTATCAAAACCATATTATAACATTAATTAATAACTGGAAATATGTAAGAGTATCGTATAGATTAATTAAACAAATAACAATAGCAGAAACATTAACTAGCCATTAAGATAATAATTGAAGTAAACGAAACGTGTGAATGATATGAAAAAATATGTCAAATATTCGCATTCTCTAAACATGTAATGTTGAGTTCAAGTCTTATATTACTGAATGAAGTTTTATTTTATAAGCTTCTTTAGGAAAATAACAGAATATTGTTGAATAAAACTTTTGAACTTAAGCATATACCACTTAAGCGCGGGATGTCAGTTCCGAATCCCGAGGAAACGGAAAAAATAATTTGTATGACCTATACATATTTGCTTCACTCCAAATCTCATATAGCGGAAACGCAATATCTATTAAGTTTTCAAAAATCTTTTACTTTAGAAAAGAAATATAAAGTGTTTTTTTTTTATTTATTATATGAATTTTAATAGATTATTTTAATATTAACTCACCCATTGCTGTGATGTATCAAATCACACAAAGTGAAAAGGATATCGACTTCGAGCGGCGTAACCTGACTCATCATCTGTGCGGAGTGAAGGAACTCCTCCTTCGTCACCTCCTGGGTTCGATGTCCGTTCGTTGCGTTCAAATATACTCGTTTGATAAGCTCCATGTTATTAAGCAAAGAGTTGAAAGCCATGTAATACGGGAAACTGATTTTTCTCTCGCCTTGTGGGAAACCTGATGCCTGAAATTAAAAAAAAATATATTTTAATATCTAAATACTAAATGTATAATAATGAACGGGTCGTTAAGCTCCCAAGGCGACCAACATATTTCTAATCTAATTTATAATTTCTGAAACATGTTGGACTCCGTGTGGAAATGTGGACATTAAATGGGCGGTGGGAATCCGCCATCTGGGTTACCAACGTCCACAGATGAAAAGCTATGGTTAATTGCGTTTTATTTTCGATCTATGAATTTTCCAAATATCCAAAGCTAAAGTACGGCGACAGCACATCGCAAATGTATATAACACTAGGGTATTCATCTTTAAAAAAAACGTTTTTCAATGTATTTTTAAAAGAGTCAGAAATAATAAGTAAACTTTAATTTATAATATGTATTTATTTCGGTGCTCCATGGTATTTTATTATCTGTAACAACTAAATTCATTTATTGTAATGTCAATGCACTCTTTGTAAGTACTAATGCATTTAGCGACGTGTTTTTTTCAAATTGCGTTTTAATGATTGGAATTAATTCGACCGCAATTATTGGGAATTCTTTGTTAAAAGATCGTTTACATAATGTTGTTGATATAGAATAGTGAAAAAACAAACACGACTGTCTTTTTTTACTAACTATAAATTTACGACTTCTGTGCTCAACCCGATAAGACTCCGAGACCTTAGAACGCTTTGCAGTTATTCATTGAGCCTTAGAGACAGTTGAGTGACCTTGGCGCAATCTTATCAGCCAATAGTATAAAGGACAAATGCATTGTGACAAAAAACCGGTTACTATCAATAATAAATCTCCTTACAATTGGAAAATACTGGTTATTACTGATAACGTGTAAAAAACAATAGATGTTTTGAAGATCAACCTTTGATCGAAGGAACAAATTTCAGCTGCTTTGTTATTATTTTACAAGAAAGGATGGTTATAAAAAACCGCAAGACATGAACAATACAACCTTTAACAAATTAACGTCATCGTTTAAGTCGAGATGAATTTAACAATAATCTATTCAAGTTTAGTGGTACATAAAACCCTGTTATAAGAAATTCATTGTATACATCATAGATTTTATTATTATTTTTATTAAAACAACGTGGACCAATCTATAGTAATAAATAAAGCTGAAGAGTTAGTTTGATTGTTTGTTCGGACGCGCTATCTCAGGAACTACAGGTTCGAATTGAAATTTTTTTGTTGGTTAGAACATTTATCGAGGAAGGCTATAAATCATTACGCTGTGACTAATAGCAGCGAAGAAACAGCGGAAAATGCGGTAAAAAAAATATTCATCTTTGTAGGTTTCCGATGCGGACGCTGCGAACACGTTACAAGATACACGAAAAAAATGTATGAATGAATGATTCTTCTTTAAATTATCAAAAAAAAATGTCCGCAAGCGACGGGACTCGACCGATGACGTAGGGTAGGGCAGTTTGCAAAAAACAATTTTGGTTGCCCAGAATAACTATTCACGCGGTCGAAGTCGCTGACTAGCTAGCTAGAAGATGGGACAATTTATTGATTCATACAATCATTCACACATCACGACGTTTACAGGCAGGTCACCAAAGACCCGACTACAAACATACCCTACATAAAATTCTAATTAGGATTGTCTTTTGAAATGTTAAAAGATGTATATATTAGTTTTTTAGTTACTAAATTCAAAATAGTACTCATAACAGTAATGAAAATGTTTTGTATTCGATTTGTTTAGCTTCAGAAACTAAAAGTTTAGTATAATGTTAAAACAGGAGCTTAAATAAATTCTATTACAAATATCTATATTAAAAATCTATATTAAATCGCTTATAAACGTTCCTCACCTCGATAACTTTAGTTTTAAGCTCCTTGGTGAGAAGATGGTTTTTAACAGAGAGCATGATGTCACGGAAGTCCCCAGCGCTGATGAACCCGCTGCCGTTGATGTCGCGCTTCTTGAAAGCCTCCACGCCATACTCCTCGTGGAAGTCATGCAGGAACTGACTGAACTCCGGGTATGTCACTAGACGCTTTTTGTCCTGTTGAAAAGGATTTGCAAACCGAGTTCATAGAAAAATATGGAAGAGATTGGTGGATCACGTTGCTTCACGTTGGACTTTTAACAGTTTAGTTGAGACCTAATGAATTTTTGTTGGCTTTTGTCGACAATGTATCAAATAAAAACGCTATTTCAATAAATCATTAACGTTTTGAAAGGAGCAGCAGCCGTGGTCACGGACAGACGGGAGATGTCACCCCGTGACCACGGCTGCTGCAAAGCATTCGAAACGTCGGGCCGAAGTTAAAAATCATTTTTAAATAGGTTTTAACTAATATATCGCGTTTTAAACCGTTAAAGTGTTTTATTTAAATGTGTACTACTCGCGTAAACTACAGACAGTATTTATATGTATACAATTTGAAAATCCATATCATCTAACTTAATCGGTTAGAGTAGTCGCGTGAAAAGCTGGCATACACAGCTTCAAAGCTTCGTTCAAAACCTGTCCGTCCGTCCTGCCCGTGTGGTATTTTTTTTCTATCTAAATATTAGCAATCTAATATTTAACTTCTATAACGCTATATTAAATCAATTAAGGGAATCGATTATAAATCAAGATTAACTGTGTATCATAGATCTAACACATTGTAGTCGAGTAATTATTACGTTTTATATCTATGATAAAAGATTTAACAGGCTTAAGAACACGTTTCGCTCATAACTGCATGAATTGAATTGTAGGAAGCAGGTATGAGAAATCTTGCAGTTCCATCCGTTTAATTAACTTGCGAATTATTGAATACTTAGATGTGAATATTTAGCGATAGTTAAAAATAGCTAACAACCAAATCATTAACCAAATTCCCCGATTCTAATAACTGTATTAGAAAAAGTAGTGTTAGTGCAGACCGCCTCTGTAGCCAAATGGTTAAACTTGTCGCTTAGCATTGCGTTGCACGCGAGAGGTTCTGGGTTCGAATTTCAGGAAAACAAGAAAAAAGGTTTCGGTCGGCCAGGCACAGAAAAGAACGGATCAGTGAAATGGACACAGGAATGTGTTCGCCCCATAGGGCCCTCACGAGGGGAAAACGGGATCTCACACACAATAACTGTAATAGAAAAATGCAGTGTTACCTAGTTTTGCACACGTAACAGTTGAGTGAATATAGTAGATTATAGATAATGTGTCTATAAACAGGGCGATAAAGATAATCTTTATATGATACCGCTGACAATAAAGTACCAAAGAAAATAGGTGAACTTAAAACACTGAAGAGTCACGATTAAGGTACGTAAACTAATATAATATTAACCCCCCCTCCCCCCCTTGTATCACTTATTTGTTGTCGTTGACGTGCTAAATGACGTAATTTAGACTTAGTCTGTACATAACATTGTTACGATGTTATTGTAGCGAATTAGGAACAACTACTGTAATTGTTATAAGTAAGATAATATACAATAAAGAAATTTTAAAATTATAAGAATAATGTTTATTTTTCGATTTAGGCAGTATAATATAATTTTCTAGGATGTATCATAGATATCTTTCAATGCAATATTAAACTTTTACGTATTGGTAAACTTATGAGGTGTGCTAGCATTTATTCTACATAGTACATTAGATGTCCTATGCAGATAATTCACTACAGCCTTTAGGGCGTTCCCAAAAGGCATCATATACGATCTGTATTTATGTGTCTCAATATTGAGATAAACAACACGTGACAGTAAGTTGTTACTTAAGTTTTAAAACTCAACTATAACGAAATAATATTTAATTGCTACCTTTCCAAAATATAGGCGAACGAAGGTGCTCTCCATGTTGAAAGGCAATTTCTTGTATAGAGCAGTCTTTTGCATGACGTCAGCAAACTCCTCTGTAAAAAAGGAACTGTTGCAAATACATACTAGTTGTGCCAGCGACTTCATATAAGCAGATTAGTTATTTTGGGTATCAAAATTAGTTTTTGCAAACCTCCTTTTCAATTTATAGCTGTTACCCAAGACGCCGTCCGCGTTCATCGTTCTTCCAACGTAACCTTAAATGATGGGCATATACTATCACGGACATTTGTTTAGAATCTAAATGATTCTTCTTAAGTTGATCTAAACTTAAGATCAATTAAAGAGGAAGCATTCTTTCACGCATATTTTTGGATATCTTGAACGGTTATCGCCGCCGTAATATTTTTCCTTGTTTCTTCTACAATTCCCAAATTTTCTTCGCTCCTTTTGGTCGGAGCGTGATGTTTTATATTTATAACCTAAAGCCTTCCTCGATAAATGCACAAACCAATTCTACAAACAAACAAACTCTTCAGCTTTGTAATATTAAGTATTCTTCGCAAATTAGCATGTACATATTCACAAACCTATAAATAATACGAATCGATTATCGTCAAAGTGATAATGAGTGATGCAGCTACATGTTTTTTTTAGAAAACATTTAAACTGTTTAAAACGCGATATATATTAGTTAAATTTATTTTAACGTCGGCCCGACGTTTGTACATAATTTGACCACAGCTGCAGCAAAGCATCCGAAACGTCGGGCCGTACTTAAATTAATTTTCAAATAAGTTTTAATAATATATTTCGCGTTATAACCGTTAAAGTGTTTTATTTAAATGTGTACCAATAAATTAAACGACAGACAATATTTTACATAGAAATTGTATCAATTCATATAAGACTTATCGTTTAAATAAAATTTGGTTTTTCACGTACAAAACTCTTACCAAAAGTGACGAGTCCGTTCCCATTGGTATCGAAGAGTTGAAAGGCAGTTTTGTATAGAGCATCCGGGACACACAACAGCCCTTCGAAGGCCTGGAACTCCGAGAAAGAGATGAACCCATCCTTGTCCATGTCGACGATGCCAGCGATAAGCTGAACTGACTCTTTGTTGTAGTCATCTGAAAGTTTATTACTATCATTATAAACAGCCCTTTAATAAGTTCTATTATTGGCCCATATGGAGAATAGGCTTGCAAAGCAAATTTGAGTTGATCACAAAGTCCATAAAGTGATGTTTGCATAATAAATTCGAATCCTTGAAATAAATGCATGTTGAATAAGATTATTAATGAGGAAGCTTGATAAGTTGAACGTGAGGAAGTAAATTACTTCTTCATCGCAAAATCCTTCAATCTATTATCTGCTGAAGACACTTATTACTGTTTATGGTTTTATCCAATCTATGAAACAGGATATATCATTGTTTAAAATTAATCACCAATTCTATGCATAGTAGGAATTGGAGATGATGGAATTTTTTTTCATAAAGAAATTAATAATAATAATATTATCAGGATTGTTTACTTACCTTCGTCAAAGAGACCAAGGAATTTCCTAACAAAGTCTTCACTACGGATGTACTTTTCTCCATTTTTCTCTACAGAAGCATATTTCAAAAATATTTCTCGAAGCCGTTCGGTATCAGCTCGTTTTAAATACCCAGCCCCCTGTAAAGCCAAGCTTAAATTAATATATAATTTATGTTTATGAGAAAAGGCACTACGAGCAACATCTATAACATCTCTGAGTTTGATATTAACAATAAACAAATTATTCAGCTACAGAACATAATTAAAACTTAATTTATTGCAAGTAATGAGAAAACAATTGTAAGGCTTGTCATACACCTGTCATACAGTACAGGTCATACAATATTTTTTAACTCATGTTTTGTAAAGTTTTACAAGCATTCTTCCCCCGCATTGGTGAGTAGAGAAGTGAAATGGAAGAAGATAATAATTAGAAGTCAATGTGTTATTTTTGTTGCTTTTATTTATGGGTCAATGTGTCAAGATATGGTTTTTACATACTAACTTATAACTCTGACATGAATTTTAATATTGTGTTGTAAGTAGAAGTGTGAATTAACAGCTTGTAGCTTAATTTTTAATGTTTAGTTAAAAGCCTGCTTTAACAGTAGCAATGACCTTTCATGTCTTTATTTAAAGTCGTAACTTCATTAACCGTGATGCAAATTTACCCAATACGCATACAAGGTGAAACAAGGAAGCTGTATTTTTCATGAACAAAGGATTACAAGTTGTCATGATACCACTGTATTGATAAAACCATTCCGTTAAACTTGAAAAATTAACTTATCTTGTTTTAACCACATTACTAATGACATTCATTACTGCAATATCTAATATAAATATTGGCAAACTATCATGTCTTTGCATCAGTATATGTTTAATTTGTGTTGTGCCAGTTTCAAGCAGTCAGCTATTCCCAATTGTAAGTTTTTTTAACATATTTTAATTTAACAACAAATTAGTTTAAATTTAAAGTTAAGCTCATAGGAATTTTGTATATATAATGTTGTAATGAATCAAATAATAATGTAAGATAAACACTCAAGTCAAAAAGTAGGTGAAATATACAGGGTCACAGATAAGCTATCAATCACTATGTATTCACATGAATACCGAAATCGCCATGTATGTAAAAAATAAAACAGAAAAATATTAGTTGAAACTTGTTGTTTGAAGCAAATTGAGATAGTGGTAAATATTATTTAGAAAAATAATTTTTCAAAACTTATATTATTATTGTGATGTTGAATATTTGGTTCACATAAATTAATGCTTTATTTAAGTTCATAGAAAAATTAAATTAATAAATATTATTCTACTTAATATTAACATTTTTGACTGTTTAAATGCAGTAAAAAACAATAGATTTTTAATAGACATAAATTATAAATATAAAGATATTTTTAAATGATCGAATGCTACCTTGTAATATAAATGACGCTCTTTATAAATTTAATATGTAGTTTAATTTAAAAGTCAATCATTTGGGTGGGAATCTAACTTACAGAGTTACTGACTATTTTATTACATATTTAGTACCCATTTGAATGGGTACAAAATATGTGCATATAGTTATTCAACTATATGCACTAAGACTATGCTAACTTATGATCAATTAAGTATTAGTTATCTAGTAGACACTAAGCTAACTAGTCGCTTAGCTAGTTATTAACGATTATTGTTTATATAAATTATTCTCTTAAGAAAAAACCTGCACACATATATCACAATGATTATCACTTTATTGTTGATCAATTTTAATGTTAGCACTGATCACATGGAAAATTTCACAAAATACTGAAATAAGTTACCCGTCTAGAAGACATAATGTTGCAAGGAGTTGATTCTGACTAATGTTATCATATTATATATCTATTGAATAAGTTGACGTAAGAGATAAGACAATTTCTTATCTTGTCTACTTAAGAAATATACACAAAGGCAGACTATTTTCATCATTCACAGATTCTCACTTAAATACTCAGTTTTTATAATGTATCGGTTAAAAGTACACTTAACATTTCATTAGTAAGTTAAAAATGGCAAAGTGATTAAAGTCCTGATTGCAGAAGCATATGAGATTTACTGATCTTATGGAGTAAGGTCAAAAAGGTTATATTGAAAAATTTTTCTATATCAAAGTTTAACTATGTTATCAACTAAATTATTAATGAAATTCATATGGTTATAATCCCTGTTCATTCGCAGACTACAAGATTGCTTCATATATCAGCATGCAGAAAATTTCAAGGACATTCGTTCAAGGACGTCTGTCTTATTAAAGTTATGACCGCTCAATTTCCTATCGTTACAGTATAAACAAAAATCAAAAGAAAATTTTAAATTAAGAATCCGCGACAGTAAATAAACTTACCCACCTCTTGACAGCTGGCCTGCGTAATCAAGGAGTTGGACAAGAAATTAAACATTACAGTAATTTTTGTCACTACACAATTAGCTTGTCGTTGGTTGTAAAACAAAAACTGTAATTTAATATATAATAAATAGAAACGGGGTAAAGTTCGTTTGCCTTGGCGTTACGTCAGAACAACAGAAAATAATAGGTTCGAATCTATTTTAGATGTTCACGCAGTATTCTCATGATCGTATGAGAACCGGCAATATAATTGCAAACAGCAAAATCGTCATTCGTCAAATTGCAAACCTTCTGCCAATTCCAAACTGGTGTTGCCAGTCATTTGAGAAGGTTACAAAACAAAAATTTAAATCAGATTAAGCACCTTTTATATTATATACATAAAAATATTTGAATTTTTATTATTACTTGGAATAATTTACAAAAACCAAAATAATGCTTTGCTATTTATCTTTATGAAATCGAGTAAGCTGTGGTTACAGAAAACTCACGTCATGTATAAGTTACTAAGTAACGGATAATATTGTAATGAATACTGTATCGTTACTGTAGACTTCATAATTATATTCGTTACTCTCATGGTTTGCCGAGTTAATTTTTATCTAATGATATATTCAAAGCAAGTAACTATTATTATTATTAGAGATGTATTATAACATAATGATAATTAATGGACCTAATTTCAATAAAACACTTTTAACGATGTACGCGAATTGTATTAGATAACTTATTAAACTACGTAACTGTAATATGTTATTTAAATATTATATTTCGCATTTAAAAAAGTTAAAGACTACTACTATTTTACTACATGTGTAAGCAATACACAACACTAAAAGGACTTAAGTATATATTCTTTTGTTTCAGACACCAGAACGCATTTCGGAAAAAACAATGAACGCAAGTGTAATGGCGCCCAGCGCCATGGTTGTTACACCACACCATTTGGCTACTCAGACGGCTGTAATGATACTACGTAATGGTGGAACTGCAATAGAAGCAATGGTCGCTGCTGCAGCAACCATTTCTGTTGTTTATCCCCATATGAATACAATCGGTGGTGACAGTTTCTGGTTGATTATTCCCCCTTCTGGAAAACCATTTGGAATTGATGCTTGTGGACCAGCTGGAAGCTTGGCGAATTTAGACTATTTCGAAGGCTTAAAGAAAATACCAACTCGAGGTCCAAAATCAGCTATTACTGTGGCAGGAACGATTGCAGGGTGGGAAGAGGCGTTGAAATATATAGAAGAAGAAGGTTATAAGAGAATGCCCATTGAAGAGCTTTTATCTGATGCCATACGATACGCTGAAAAAGGATTTCCTGTTTCATCGAGCCAGGCAAACACAAACAAAGAATTCAGTACAAAACGAGAGCAATTCACCGAACAATTCGATGAAGTGTTTTACCCAGATGGAAAAGTTATGAAAACTGGGGAGATATTATATCAAAAGAAATTAGCAGAAACATTTAAAGAACTTGTCAAAGACGGTTTAGACAGCTTTTACCGGGGCAACGTAGCTAAAGTAATTGCTAGAGATATGGAAACTTTTGGTATGCCCATTACTGAATCAGATCTTAATAACTATCACGCTATTCGCCGGGAGCCACTGAGATATAATCATTCTCACGGTGAATTATTAAACTTACCACCGCCTACACAAGGTGTACTTTCTTTATCAATTCTTGGAATGTTAGATGATTTACACATTAATGGTAGCGACGAAGGTGCATTTATACATGCTGCTGTTGAAGCAACCAAACAAGCCTTTAAATTGCGTGATGAATACATAACCGACCCGCGCTACATGACTGTTGATGCGCAATCATTGCTAGCCAAATCTAACATCGAAAACATGGCAAATCATATTAACTTAGCAAGAGCTTCGCCAGATGTAAAAGGCGATGGTTCAAGTGATACCGTTTGGATGGGAATAATGGATAGCAACGGATATTCAGTTTCCTTCATACAAAGTATCTTCCACGAATATGGTAGCGGCGTAGTACTACCTGAAACCGGTATTCTATGGCAAAATAGAGGGGTTGAGTTTAATCTGGACAAAAAGAGTATTAGGTGCGTTGTGCCAGGGAAGAAGCCATTCCATACGCTAAATCCTGCAGCTGCTTTCTTAAACGATGGAAGAGTCATGATATACGGAACTCGCGGAGGCGATGGCCAGCCCCAAACTCAAACTGCCATTTTCCACAGATACGTAGTACAAGGTGAAACACTACAAAGATCTATATATGATCCACGATGGGTTTATGGGCCTTTAACTATGGATCCCAAAAGTCTTCTTCGTCTTGAAGATAGATTTAGTAATGAGACCGTAGATTACTTGGTGGCTAGAGGACATAAGATTGAGATTTTACCTGCATTTTCTGAAAAGTTTGGACAAGCCGGTGCCTTAGTCAGGCACACAGACGGTATCATAGAAGCTGGTTGGGACGTACGCAGTAACGGATTTGCCGCAGGTTTCTAGTCGATGTTTTATAAATTTTTTTTTTTAATATATTTTGGGTGTTTTTTAAAAAAAAGAAAAAAAAAAACAAAAGGGAAAAAGAACCCTCGACTATGTCATACCCAAATTAGTTAATTCATACCAAATAGGTTAAAAATCACTTACCACAAAAAATTTTAAAACCAAATTAAAAAATTCTACTCCCTCCATAACAACTGACCATAATTGTTGTAATGATTAAATATATATACATGTATAAATGTAATGTGTGCTGAGACGAGGGCGTCACGGACATTCGAATGAGTTTTTGTTGAGCTTGTTAAATAAAATTAAAAAATTTTGAATAAATTATAATAAATAAAAATAGTGATTTTTATTTTAAAATATGTTTTATCGTAGGCCTTAAGATTAATAGTGATTACTGCAATAATTGTACTTTTGGTAATTAAAATACATAAAATAAACATTTAGGTGTTTTTAATTTTTTCCAGCTTATACATTTATTAAGCCCCACAATTGTGTCACTTTATTATTGGGATAAGAAGCGGTTTCGTACCTCAAGGCCCGTTATCATGAACCCAAAACTGTCAAACAACGTAACTAGAAACTGTCACACAAGTGACCCCTAACTTTGCGGACGACTTAATATGTATCTAATAAGCCGTGAATCCTCAAATGAAGACGAATGCGTCCACTTCATTATTCTGAGAGTTTAATTTAGCGTTCTCTCAGACCATTCATCCGCATTAGCGCCAGTCGGTGACAAATTAAAGGATTTATAACCTTTTTATACAATGGTCTACGTATGTATTTGGTGAACCCTATATCGTGAATTAAAAATCAATTTAAACACTATTGTTACCGGTGAAAGTTGATTCATCATAACCAAACTATGAGATATTTTCAACAATAGAATGTTCCAAAAAAACCCTTTTATTGTTTATAATTTGAGTAAAGATCATTCCTTTTTGTGTAAGATAGAACTTAGATAACATTAATAAACATTATCACGTATAAAGAGATATGGCAAACTGAGAAGTACATTTATTTTAATAACATATAAAACAACTTAACACAAAATTTCTAATGTACCTACTAAGATCTCATTCACATGAATGTGATATGATTACAAAGATTTAACTGTTTTTTTTTATTTAACTTACAATGCGGTTAGTGCAAATTGAATATAATACATTTCTAAATTAATATTTATATATTATTATAAAGGTCTTATACTTATTTGTGTTGTAACAGTAAGTTAGAATGTATATAACATACCTAGTTATTGTTGAATAATGTCCACAATAAACGAATGTTTACAGTGATTTATAAATAATATCAATGTAAATTCAATCGTCATAATAATAATTTATTATCATGGGTAACTATTTTCATCGCGTGACACAAAAATAGCAATAAATTAATTATTCGTTTCATGAAATAAACCGCACAATGATTTAATATGCACTCTCTGTTCGTATAGTTTTTGAAGTAATATTCATATTTAATCGTAATTTTTGATTTACACCTGAAATGTTCTTTGTTCGTAGCTTATCGTTCCAATAAATGTGAATTATTGTCGACCACAGGAGTATATATCATAAAGATTGTCTAAATTAAACTGTTCAAGTGAAGATCGGTACAATTTCTTTTCTATTCTCTCGGTTCACCTACCAGTTGAAGTTAGCAGATAATAATGACTTTTATGAAAGAAACCTAAAGTTTTTTAACTTTCCCGTGGAATTGACAGTCTTCGTAAGTTTTAGCTTATGTCTGGAATTCTAGACCGTAACTCTCATCGAATATCGGAAGTTCATGAAAGGAATTTTTGATTTACGTCTTTCCAATTTCGTAAGGAAGTGTTTTAAATGTAAATAAGAATATTTAAATCAACGGATTATGTTTTTATCTTTATTTAATGGGCTTTAACATTAAATACTGTCTGTAGTTTACGCGAGTAGTACACATTTAAATAAAACACTTTAACGGTTTATAACACGATATATTAGTTAAACTTATTTGAAAATTATTTTTACAATGATTTTACAGCCGTGCCACGGCTCTGCAAACCTCCGAAACGTCGGGCCGAGTTAAAAATCTTTCAAATAAGTTTAACTGATATATCGCGTTTTAAACCGTTAAAGTGTTTTATTTAAATGGGCTTTAACACTACTAGATTACCTCGCCCCATAGAATCTAAAATTTACAAATTAAAAAAGAATTTAAAATTACACTAAAACTCTCTACATATTGGAATTATAATATAAGTTAGTCTAGATTATACAAAATACTTTTAACAGTGACGTTTTGCTTACTTTGATAAAATACCATATTTTGCACATACAATATTTGAGCTTCCCTTGTTTGTAATAAACAAGAACTTTAAAAACTATAGAGTACAAAATATTTTCGGAGGCGTTTGCAATTACTTTGTTAATGATTTTGAAACATGAAATAACTGCTAGATATAATAACTTATATCTTGACATAAGTAAGTTGTTTAAAGATGTATGCGTACATAGAGACAGAAAAAGCGACTTTGTTTTATACTATGTAGTGATTGACAGAAGAAGAAGATAAGTTTAACGTCTTAGGAGTATTAAATAGGTAGACATGGATCCATCTAGGAGCACTTAGCGTCGTACTTAGTGCCTAAGCAGCTTCGAAGTGAAACACGTTAACTTCAATTAAGTGTGTTGATGTTGACAAGCGCAGTGTTTATGAATATAAAACTTAGTTTAATGAATGTATTCCATAAATTAATGAAAAAAAATGGGGTTTAGTTTTATTTTGTTATATTTTATTAATGATAGAGAAGGACATATAGCATTAGATGCGCTTTCGACCATATTTTGGCTTTGGATATTCGGAAATCCACAGACTGACACCGAAACGTGATCAAACTTCACGGCTTTTTCATCTGTGGACGGTGGTTCGTTACGCGGACGGAATTTCGATATTCCTACCCCCCATTTAAATACAGATTTCCAGACAAATGCATGTTTCAGAAAAATATTAAACTGAAAAATTAGAAACACGTCGGACCCGATGTGGATCGAACATGATTTTTAGACGTACATTGCTACTATTATACCAACGAGCCCATCAGTGGTCGGCGCAAGAGTTTTTTTAACCTGCCTCTAAATATGAGTAACTAAGTAGGACCATTTATTAATACAGCAGTTGGATATATAAAGTTAGTTTAGACTTAAATACACACGATCTGAGTTTCACCCAGCGACTTCTACAAGTGGACGACCAGTTTTGTTTATTCTTAGAAGATTCTTATGTGATACGATTTACTAATTTAATGGCTATTAATATTAGCTATTCTTCTATTTGTCTATGGTGAAGCGTAGTAGGGAAGTATGTGCATTTAGGCCGCTTGTATTTAGTTAAAAAATAAGTTTCTATGTCTCATCAACTATGTATACAAAACAATTATCCTTACTGGTTCAAAGGTTTGTGTCTTATACTAATTATAACGAATGAATGAATTAATAATACAGATAATGCCACGATAGTAGACTTTTTAATTTAAACAAGTTCACTAACATTATATAAGAATTTTACATACATTAGAAAGATTTAACATCTTTCTAATATTACTTTGATTATGTAAAAAGTAATGCAATGTTGAAACAATTTATGGCAAACAGGAGTCGCTTGTTAAATAAGTATAAGATAACATACCATACAAAGATTTAGTTAATAACAAAGCCATATCGAACTTGTTAAATTTTATTCGTGTTAAGTAAAGTTTAAGTAAAATATATGAGCATAGTATCATTCATAGATTTACATTACGATTAGAGTATACTTAAGTCGTGGAGTGTAAATGTCTCTGTACACTTCAGTAAAGGGAAGCTCTCAGAAACTTTATATCTCCACAGTATTGTTTTAAACTTGAAACTTTAAGGCTAAGCTGTGACATTTCATAATTTAAGATGTGATATGATAATAATCTTAAGCCACGAATGGGAGAATGTATTTTAATAAATAACAACATAAGTTTATGTTTAGAATTCCAGTTCCTGTAAATGTAAATTAAAAATCCTTTTTCGACTTTTGACGGGCTTCTAGGTTTAATGGTAGCAATGTGTAGCCAACGATCAATGGGTCGATCCCCACCAGGTCGACTGACTGCTTGACTTCTGGAAACCTGAATATTAAAACCTCCGTCCACAGATTATAAAAGCCGTGAAGTTTAATCGCGTTTCGGTTTCAGTCTTTGAATTTCCGAAATCCAAAGCCAAAATAGGTCGACAAGCGCATTTTGTGTATATGCTACAGGCTGATGTCTGTCCTCCTCTATCATAAAAAAACATGTTATTGGTTAATTTAAAAATCGAAAATAAATTGAAAAAAATTTTCGACTCGCGCAGGACTTGAACCGAAACTTTTTTCAATTTATTTTCGATTTTTAAATTATATAGTGTCTTCATGTGCAAAAATGTAACATGTAAAAAAATAATAAACTTTTCAAATGTTATTGGTTAGTTATAAACACCATGTTGATCTAGTGGTTTGTGCACTCCACTACATAATCATTGGGTCTCGTTTAAAATTTTCGGACTTCGAAAAATTTTAGTAACCATCTATCTGATTGTCCCAAAGAAGAACGTTAACTTATTCCAGTTATCGTCATTAACCTGCAGTGGAGCGACGTCGTAGGTCTACGGTAAGCCCTCTCTTCTATTAAGATGAGTTCTGTGCCCAGCCGTGTGAGATTAGGTTGAAAGAATGTCTTATATGATTACGTAAATAATCGGCAGGGCAGAAAAATAAAGGACTGCCCCTAATGGTCTACAACTTGATAACACAAAGGACCCTGAAGTTGAAGTTAAATCTATTCTTACTGCGGCTTTCTAAGACTATTTTTAGGTCACATGAAAATAGCTGAGCCAGATTCCATTTAGTTTCTCAAAGGCATACTTTTAGATTTAACTTGCAGGCTTAAATACGTTGGCTTTGTGGCAAACCCACAAATTTTAATGAACCACAAATTTTTAAAAAACTTA